TTTCTTAGACAAAAAATACTATTGGGAAGATCTTAAATATATAACCTGTTGGATTATGGGTACAGGTAAATTCGCCCCAATGACCATGAGTTTCAAAAGGTCTACTTTAGCCGCTCAGGTATAGCAGATATGATTCTATAAGTATAAAAACATTATCTTATTTCAATTGTTGTCCTATATCCTATTTCCAATATAACCCCTCCTATTTTGGAGATGGGGCTTGCCCCCCCCCCCCCCCCTAATGATTTTTCTAAAATGAGAAACACGTACCCCTTTGAAGCCTTGACCATTTCATTTCAGCTACAATATAGAATATGATCAATTGACTCTTCATCTAGAAAACACATAAACAATTTTGCCTGCGGCAAAGTTGAAGAGCATTCAGCTATTCTATTAAAGCCCCATTATAGGCTGAATTTTTACGTTGTGCAGCTGACAACCAACACCAAATTATAAGTCAACCATTTCTCGCCGGTATTCGGTAGTGCCCCACTGCTACACTTACCGTATATAGTATATTCGGTGTAACAAATGGGATCCTAACCTATTATGGTGGACGGCCTCCCCAGGGGACACCAATTACCAAAAAGACATGATCAAATCCTAATTTGTTGCTCTGGATAATCAGTGAAACGCAACTTCAATAATTGTTATTAAAAACATTTACAGCAAAATGTTTTCTTAATAAATAAATCAATAAATGAGATCTTCCTCATATAAGTAGTATTTTTTGTCTAAGTGTCAAATTGTCACCCTGTATGTCCGACGTGGCTTAAATGGAAACATCACTGTCGGGCAGTTTTGCCCGACGCGACATGCAAATGGTCTTTAAAAATTTCATTTATTCGACATGACTTCACAAAATCATCTATTACTCCGTTAATATTTCATATATTTCAATGTAAAAATAACTATTCTGAATCAGAATTTATGCTCTTCAAGATAATTAAAACAAGTTTCATTCCAATATTTGAAACGGTTTTGAGATATGAACTTCTAAAGTTGAAACTTTGAGTCAGATTTCCATATAGAGCTCCTTTGATTCTACATCAAAAATTATTTCTTTGAGTTTTTCAAATTTCTGACTTCACCAGCCCGAAAAATAAGGTCAAATTTAGTAGAAAAACATTGTGACAACTCTATGTTAAAAGTTCCAAGGCTTAAAATATATTGAAAACACTTATTGATGTACGTTAATGACTGGCTTTCCAAAAGTGCACCCAACACCTCCATGAGTGTCTCAAAAAAATTGAAAACTTTCAAATTGCCTGTTTGTAAAAAAACAGCTACATAATCCTATGCTATTGCTATCCAGCAATACTATCTTTATAGAAGAGTATTATTGTGTAATGCACCTGTAGATTTTTAGCTGAAAATGTTTAGTGGACTTCCACTAGTAATTTACCCCAAGGTGTTAATATGGGTTAGTTGGGTTGTTGCTAGTGGTGGTGGCTTATTGAAATTTACAATAATTAAGACTTAAGACCCAGAAACATCTTTGGATAATTTCCAGTGACAGAATAGCTATGGATTTAAAGTGGCTCAAACTTCAAAATTGTGGAAAAAAATCAATTTTTTTGGGACACTCCAGCATTTTATTACAACAGTATCTACATCCAGCATACAGCGTTCTATTCGAACAATACCTACATACTACATCACCAGAACCCAGCATTCTATCTCACAACAGTGGATCATTCATCCTTCACACAAGCTCATCTATACTTTTTTCATTAACGCACTTTTGGAAAGCCAAATCAAAAAAAAGAAAATTAATGATGAAAATAGATACTGGAAAACTAATTTGTTGTATAGTTTACTAATTGCCAATAGTTATAGAGAATCAAATGATTTACAATTTAAGTTTTAAAAAAAATAAGTTGGATTGTTCGAAATTCAGACATTAGAAAAATCAAGAGTTGTTTATTCAAGATTTAATAAATCCCAATTACCAAAAAATAATTGTTGGTACTACTTACCAAAATCCAGAAGTCAATTGGTACACTATGGGCACACGACACAATAATCTAAGCTTGTGTAAAAAAAAAATCGATAATTCTCGGACGCAAGTGACGGTGCTTTATCCCCGGCTGGTCGTACTCAACTGAATCTGAATAAATTTAAATCCCTTTGTCCGACAAAAACCTCCACAAAAAAAGGTAAACAGATAACGTAATAAATATGAATAAGTTAGGAGCAAAAAAAATTAACTACGTGATAGAATACAGGGTGGGCCAATGAAAACTTTCCACCTCGATTTTTTGGACTTGAAATGAAAATCTGGAAAAACGCTCAGACACGTCAGTTTTTTATTTGAGGGGACCCCTTTTTTTAGTTTTTATCACCCCCTAGCTGGGGGAGCGCAAGACCTTCGAAAAAAAAAGGTATGGCACGACCCCTATCCCCTATACAAATTTGGGGGGTTGCTCTGCTCCTAGCTACAGGGGTGGAAATAACTGAAAAACGGGTCCCCCTTCAAATCAAAAACCGACGTGTCCGAGTGTTTTTTCAGATTTTCATTTCAAGTCCAAAAAATCGGGGTGGAAAGTTTCCATTGGCCCACCCTGTATAGTACCCCGACGGTAAATGTAAATCCGCAGTTTCTAGTTAGTTATTTGGTTATAGGGCCGAATTAGTATTGAATTTTTTTAGCTTTCATCTACTCAAACAAAATATCCGAAACTGCCTTGAAGGAATTTCCATCAATAGTTAGTTAACATAAATAACCTTAGGTACGCTGACGACACCTGATAATCGCGGACTCTTTGGAGGGTCTTACTTAGGTGGCAACTAATAGTGCAAAATTTGGTTCAAATTTAAACATAAAATAAACCAAATTGTTAAGAATGAATTAGGCTGACTAACAAAAGGAAGAAACTCACCTACTTGCACAACTTTTATCATCCGCTGTTACATAAATTCGTGTCCTTCTTCCTATTAGGAAATGGTTTGGATTAATCGCTTCAGATTCTTCATCTTCTATGGGTAGGTGAGTTAATGGTCACATGTTTACAATACATTCTGCGGTTACAAGACAACTGTTTAGTAGTTAATCATTTGGATTTCTGATAGGTAATGCGTTGCATAGTGAAACTAACTAATTTTACGAGACTTTCTCAAGCTCCAGCCATGTGGGGTAATAACCGAATATTAAAATGGAACTTTAGTTTGGGACTCACAAACGACTTGGCTCCTAACTGACTATCTACTTTCTTCAGCTCTTCTTTTAAAATTCTTTCGGTTGCTATAAAATTTTTTCCTCTGTCGCAATAAATGTGTCTAGGTCTTCCTCTTCGATTCATGAAGTTCGTGAAACAAAGGATACAACTATAAACGTCTGAGTTGTATGCTACTTCCAAATACACAGCTCTCGTCGTTAAACATGTAAAAAGAGCACCCATCTCTTCTCTGTCCGTCTTCCCAAGCTAACATTTATTGGTCCAAAATAGTCAACTGTATTGAATGTGAATGGTGCTGTATATGCTGCTATACGACATTCAGGTAAAGGCCATTTCAGGAGAGTTTGATTTAGCAGACTTTATCCTACACATTTTACACTCTCTTGAAATTTTGTTTAAAACTCTTCTTAATTTTGGGATATAATACTTTTGTCTAATTTCGTTGATAACTGTCTCGTTGTTTCGATGATAGAAAGTTTGATGGAAATCTTGAACAATAAGTTTCGTGAAATAAGAATCTCTCGGTAATATTATAGGGTGTCTCTCATTTTCAGTCAGATAAGTATCAGCGACTAAACGTCCTTGCACGCATATAGTAAACCATGGGAATTTAAGTATGGAGACAGCTTATAAATGCTACTGGATTTGTTCACTATTGGCTTCAAACCATTTTGTAAACTTTCTTGTTCTATCAACTGTTTAATTTCATCCGAAAAGAATTGTTTTTGAATTATACGTATTAAAAAATTTCTTGCCGATGAAAGCTCTTCTGATGATAACATTCCTTTAGGCTCTTCTGACTTCTGATCTTTAGGTGAGATCATTATAGTGAATCTCTGTACATAAGCTGTTGCTCGCAGAAGTCTGTTATATCTACTAAATCTGTTTTGTGTCTAGCATATCGTGAACAGTTAAAATTTCTTCTTGATTTCTCGTTTTTAATGTTGTATCGGGCGGCCAGATGTCCTCGTTTTGGTATGAGAAGTCAGGCCCTTTAAACCAGCGATCATGTTCTGATAATGTAGGTGAATGGCTCCAATTAGCTATCATGGAGTTATCTTGTATTTCGGCAACTCTATAAGCGACGTATTTAGGAAACTGTCTTGGGTCTTTATTTCTTAACCAACTTAAAAATGTGGAACTGACCAGTAATATGTTTCATTTATATTAACTGAGATATGTTCACTAAGATTTCTAGTAAGTCTTGCGCCCATTATAGCGGCGTTAAGTTCAAGTCGTGGAATCATTTGGATTTTAAGTGGTGCGATGTGCGTTTTATCTGCAACTATGCAGCATTTTTTATTTTCTTGGTTTTAGACTCTTAGGAAGCCTACTGCCGCTGCTGCGTATTCGCTCGAATCTACGAAAATGTGGAGCTGGGTCTGGCAGTTATTCTAGTTCTCCATTTGTCCAAAATAACATCGGGCTATTTTCAGCTTTTCAATGTTTGGTAACAATTTAATCCAAATTAACCATTTTTTAAACTGTTCATCCTATGAAATGTTACTTCGCCAAATTTCTTGCAGAAGAATTTTTACGTAGGTAGACTAGGAAATTTGTGAGCAGTCCTAGTGGATCATAGATTGACATAAGTATACGTAGAATTTCTCTTTTTGTAGGTTTTGGTTTTTCATCTAAAACGTCCCTACTTCCTGTATTTAAACGCAAGGTGTATATGAAAGTATCTGATTTCAAATCCCACCACATACCCAAAAAGTTTTTCGAAAGACAATTTTCTTATGTACTTTTTCTGGACGAATTCTTCTAGCTGTTCATTCATTTTGATGCTTAGTTCTGGATTTTAAATTCGTTACACTCAGAGTTTTAGTAATTCTCAACGAATCAATTTGTATTATAGATTTTCTGAAAGGGGACAAAATTTTCTGTAAAACCTGCAAAAACGAAATTAGTTGATCCTATAGGCTTCAAGAAATTAGGCTTCAAAATTGTAATTTTACTAAGATTTTGTCAAAAACTTTAGGTTCAAAAACCATAAATGATATAAATATTTATTGAATAAAGTATTGATGTACTCAATGAGAGCTACAATCTCTGAAAAGTTTGATTGTATACCTTCCATGGTTACCTAGATATTTGCCAATTGAAGATTTTGGAGAAAAAAATCCAAAGATTTTTAATTTAAAGCAGAGATGTTTGAGGAAAGAGCGGCGAAAAAATTGGAGAATTATAAAATTTTCTCTACTTTCCTAAGCAAGATTGTATCTCTCGAACTATAACTCCAAATTTGCTGACATTTTCAGGGTTTGTATTCAGATTCCTATGTATGATACATTCTCTAAAAATTTCAGAGTTCTATCTATGATACAAATGGAAATTAAATTTTTCATAGTAGGTATACCTTGGTACCAAGAGTTTATATCTATTTTTACTCGTATTTTTAGGTATCGCTAGCCATTTGATAATTTTTTTGTTTATTTTCAGTCCTATGTTGCCAATATTCTCATAGCAGTCAACCCCTACAAAGATATTCCAGAACTTTATTCTAGCAAAACGATCCGAACCTATCAAGGCAAATCTTTGGGAGAAATGCCTCCTCACGTTTTCGCCATAGCTGACAAGGGCTTCAGGGACATGAAAGTTTTCAAACAGTCTCAATCTATTATTGTTTCCGGCGAATCTGGAGCAGGTAAGAAAAATTCCCATTGCCACTCAATTTACACCACATCAAAATTTGTTTCGTGACTAAAATCGTGCAAAAGCTCAATTTATTTTCGCTTGACCTTAACCTGCACTTCCCATCTTTCCTGATTTCGCAACAGGAACAAGATTTATTTTTATTGCAATGCAGGAAAGACTGAATCCACCAAGCACCTGCTGAAATTCCTATGCGAAGGCGGAGCAGCTGGGCCCATAGAACAAAAAATTTTAGATGCAAATCCTGTTTTGGAGGCCTTCGGCAATGCTAAAACTACTAGAAATAATAACAGGTAATAATAATAATAATTGTTAACCATACAAAATAAAATAAACTGATTTTGATAAAAGTTCGAGATTTGGAAAATTCATTGAAGTGCATTTTGATAAGAAATTCCAAGTAGCCGGAGGCTTCATTTCCCATTATTTGTTGGAAAAAAGTCGTATTTGTTCTCCTTTGGGAGAAGAAAGGAGCTATCACATATTTTACATGCTTATGGCTGGAGCTCCCGAAGGATTAAGACAAAAACTATTCCTCACTAAACCTGATGATTATAATGTAAGACCCCAAAATATACATAGTAACATTTTATTAATAATAATAAAACTTTAGTACCTCAAACACGGTTGTACAAGATATTTTACAAAACCTGCCACAGATAAAGCCCTTAGTGCAGCTCAAAAGAGTGCAGCCCAAGTCAAACAGGGTTCTCTAAGAGATATTCTTATTGATGACATTGAAGATTTTAAAGAACTAGATCTTGCTCTTGCTCGGCTAGGCATGTCTGATATTGAAAGAACACAAATTTATACTACTGTAGCTGCTGTTTTACATTTGGGTAATATAGGTAAGGAATCCATTATTTATATGTTTTTTGTATTAATTAATCATTAATTAAAATTGTTTTTAGAATTTGAAGATAACCCTGAAGATACTCGAGGAGGTTGTAGGGTAGCACGTAGCGGCGAAAAGTCTTTGGTAATTGCCTCAAAATTACTAGAAATTGACCCAGAAGAACTAAGACAAGCTTTAGTTTCTAGAGTTATGCAAAGCGCCAGGGGCGGCTTTAAAGGGACAGTAATAATGTAAGTGTTTGTGAAAAAAAGGAAATTGTATTACAATAATAATGTCTATAGGGTTCCTCTAAAAATCCATGAAGCTAACAATGCAAGAGATGCCCTTGCCAAAGCCATCTACAGCAATCTATTTGATTTTATTGTTAGTCGCATAAATCAAAGTATTCCTTTCCAAGCTTCTAGTTATTATATAGGTGTATTGGATATTGCTGGATTTGGTAAGTATGAGACTATTTTAAGTCTTGATTGTATTTTTTTTTTTTTTTTTTTTGTAGAATTTTTCACAGTCAATAGTTTTGAGCAATTTTGCATAAACTACTGCAACGAAAAATTGCAGCAATTTTTCAACGAGCGCATATTAAAATTCGAACAAGAATTGTATAAGCGCGAGGGCCTTAGCGTGCCGGAAATTACATTCACGGACAATCAAGATTGTATCGATGTGATAGAAGCTAAAAACCAAGGAATTTTAACGTTGTTGGACGAAGAATCTAAATTGCCCAAACCGTCTTATGCGCATTTCACTGAGGAAGTGCATAAAATCTGGGGGAAAAATTATAGGTAAAAATCATATTTATTTTGTGTTGTTTTTTTTAATATCATTGTTATAAAATAGATTAGGCTTGCCAAGATCCTCAAAACTCAAAGCCCACCGCAGCATTCGGGACGATGAAGGTTTCCTTGTTAGACATTTTGCTGGAGCTGTTTGTTATCAAACGGTAAGTTTCAAACATTAAACTTTTAACTTATTTATAATGTGTGTTTAGAAACAATTTATCGACAAAAACAATGACGCTCTCCACGCCTCACTCGAAGGCATTATCCAGGACAGCAAAAATAAACTCATCCAAACTTTATTTGCAACTTCGATGGCCCAAAAAGGCAAACTGACGTTTATTAGTGTAGGGAATAAATTTAAAACGCAGCTCCAAGAACTCATGGAAAAATTAAGAAATAATGTAAGAAATTGTTATTGTAATGCTACAAAGAAATATATTAAATTTGGATTTTTATTTTAGGGAACTAATTTTATTCGTTGTATTAAACCTAATAATAAAATGGTAGATCAGCAGTTTGATGGCAGTTTGAGCTTAATGCAGCTTACTTGTTCAGGTAAATGATTTTCATTTTAAATTTTGAATAAACTCAGACATTTCAGGTTTATTTTTGAGTTACATGAACCGAATTTTAAACAATAAAAGCTGCTCAATCTTGCACTAGGTTTAAGTTATAGGTTTTCATAGAGAGAGAGTTTGGCATCGCATTGATAAAAGCTCTCTCTCTATGTCCAGGAAAGCGGCGAGTGCAATGCTCTCACGTTCCAGAGAGCCGTCTATGCTAGCTACCAAGTTACTTTGGACTTTCCTGTGATAGGCATATTGATGAGTACTAAGAGAATTCGTCTTAAACCCCTCTTCCTTAATCCATTCATCTTGCACTAACTTAGGTCAAATTTCAAAAATGAACTATGTAACACCCGTATGCACCGTATGGACTTGGGAGTTTAATCTCGCTCAGTTCAAAAAATTGCATATAAAAAAGACGTCTCCTATACAAAACGTTAGTGCAACAAATTTTTCTGCTTGCAAGTCACATTTTGACCATACCGATGTTAAGGCGTTTACTGATGCAATCACTGTCTACAAAGACTGTTCAAACATTGAAGATGCTCACGCAATGAAAGGACTATCCATGCTTTTAATTGAGTCCGCTGCTACATGGTGGCAAGGCATAAAATCTTCAATAGATACATTTGATGATTTGCATCATGCTTTCGGATATTTCAAACCTCCGCATCAGATTTATAGAAAACTTTTCACATGTCCACAAGCTGATGAAAATACTGATATTTTTTTTTAGTAAATGTAGAGCTCTTCTTATATATTTAAAGGGAGATTGGGCTATTTCTGAGCATGCTATATGGATTTTCAAATATACGCATTAAAGATAAAGTTCAACGAGATCAAATTAAAAAATCTCGTAGCTAGAGTTGTGGAACAAACATTATTTGATAATATCGCTAATGCAAAAACTAAGCAAAATATTCAATTCAACAATTCCATTATAGATCTGTCGCATAATTCAAAAGTTCAGTGTGTATATTGTAAAAATTTTGGTCATGTTAAAGAAAATTGTAGAAAGTTAGCTTACAAAAATGCTCAGTCTGAAACTCAAAAAATTCCCATGAATATTCTATCGGACTACCTGTTAATTCCAATGCAAACATCTTGAATAGTAGTTTGATGTGTTATTTTTTATTTATTTTTTTATTTATTTATTTATTCAAAACTTTACACCACCAGGTTGGTTATTACATGTAAAGTACACTTACAAACTAGGTACTTAAAACTAGCGAAAAACAGATTCCAGTAAAAAACCGTCTTCAGGTACTAGGCCTTCTGTTCCGAACAAACAAAATCACAAGACATGCAATATAACTAAACAGACACTGTAATTTCTAATAATTACCTGTCTTGAGGCAATTTATAAGTAATTTTAGTGGACTATTGAACATGTCAATGTCATTCTTCAATAGAAATTCATTACAAATATGTAGCATGTTATTAATAGGAGATATACTTCTCCTATGTGCAAAGACGTCCTCATTTGGAATTCGCAGGTTCACTTTTGGCACTTTAAATTTAATAAATTCTATGGGATTGAACTCTTTGTACTCTATATTATTTAGAACAGAATAAATAAATATAACAGCCTGTGCTCTTCTTCTACTTTTCAATGTTTGGAATCCATAGCCTGTAAACATTGACCTGTAAGATACCAAAAAAGGATAAACATTATTTTGTTTTACATACGAGAATCTTAAGAACCTTTTCTGGACCTTTTTAATTAGGTCACTGCCAAAAATATGTCACAAGTGCTCACACGTTGGTAGCATATTCGAAGTGTGGGCGTACCAAACAATTATAGAACTTCACGATTGTAGCGATCTCAAAATTTTTTCCATTGCGTATAACAAAACCCAATGCTTCAAATGCCCTATTCAGGCAACATTGATAATGGTTGTTGAATTACAAGTTTTCCTGAAACCTAACTCCCAAGTCTGTTGTTTCGAATTTCTTTTCCAGAACCGAGTTACTAATATGATAATCAGCTAATACAAGATAGCTTTCTAGTGTAAGATATAGTGAAACATTTTTCAATATTGAGAGAAACTTTGTTGTCAAGACACCAATCATCTGTCACAGCATCCAAATCAGTCTGTAACAAAACGGTGTCGTTGCGAGCTGAGACTGACTTAAAAATCTTGAGATCATCTGCATACAACAAAGCCGAAGGGTATTTAACCAACTCAGTAAGTAAGATGATAAATATGGTATGGGGTACTCCAGATATGGTGATGAATTGGTTTGAAAATTAATTGCCAACCTTTACAAAGTTTGGCCTATTAAGCAGGTACGATTTTAGAAATATGTTTCTTTAGAAATCCCATAAAATATTAATTTATTTGATAATAATCCATGGTCTACCTTATCAAATGCCTTATACAAACCAGCTGTTCACCATGTTCAATTGCATTTGTATCGGACTCTGTAAACACACAAAGGTTGTCGTGGGCCTGCCTGGCATAAAACCATGTTGCGCTGTAGATATTTTAGATTCAATGAAATTTATATAATAGATATTTATGTTATAGGGATCATAATGACGATCATTATAGTAGTAGCCGTGTCTGATAACACGGTATCTTCTATAATGATTGTTTATGATCCGAATTTCATACAATATTTTATATTCCGGCGATGATAGTCAATACATTTTTCTGTCGCATTTGAGTTTATCCGAAATAATTGAAGAAGGCTAATTTTAGTAATGTGCTGGAAAACCGGTAACGACGGAAGTGTTTGTTTGTATGGTCAAGGTTAGATTCACTGAAATGTTCATCAAACATCGAAAAATGAATAATTCTATGATGGATTTACCCCCAAAAATGGAAAATTTGGCTAAATGTAGTTGCTGGCCTAATGCCTAAAAAGTCTGGAAGCGTATATCAAAAAACCTATGAATGCTATACCTATATCTTTCTTTTGGTTATGTTACTCATTACTATAATGAAATCATTATAGTACTTAGGACTATAATGAAATCATTATGGTACTCAATCCAATAAAGTATGTCATTTTGTTGTTTGTGACACTACAAATGAAGTCTTTAATAATGTCATTTTGACACGCCGGAATATAAATCAACATAGAGTAGATTTTAATAGATTTTGGCAATGGCATTAATCAGACTTAATAGGTGTACTGTGCTAATAGGCCTATAATTGACAACTTCATTTAGTTTCCCTTTTCTATGGACAGGTGTGATAGTGGCTATCTTCAGTTTGTCCGGAAATTTATTTGCTACTATTCCCAAATTAACAATATGTACCAGTGGCTCAGATAAACCTTCAGCACAGCCCTTGAATATATATGAGGTTTTTTTTTTTATTCTAGTGGTTTAATACTAGCAAGAACGTCACTCTCAGTAACCAGTGAAAATTTAAAATTTCCCCAATCCTGGCATTCACCATCATAAGTTATAGTGCTGTTTTGGTAAACTGATTTAAAGTATTCTGCAAATATTTGGGCAATTTCTTTTTCTTCACCAAAAAAAAACCCTTCAAAGAATCACCTTCAAAGGTTACTTCTGCTGGGATCCCAGAGTGAGATTTTTTGTTATTTAAAAAAAATGCCAAAAACTCTGCGGATCAATATTTATGTTAGCTTTTATCATTTTCTGATAGGCAACAAATTCACTCTGAATTTGGTGCTTAACTTCTGTTCGCAGTCGTGAATACTGAGTAAAGTTTTCAGAGTTTGCAGTTTTTCTGTTTAGTTTTCGATGTAACTTACTTTTCTTTTTTAAATTAGCTCTCAAATCTAATGAATACCAAGATGGGAAAGCCTTGTAATGACTACTTTCAGTTCTAGCGATAAATTTTGGAACCGCCTGATCCAAGCATTCTATGAATTTGTTATAGAAACTTTGAAAACTATCGTCGACATTTGTGCCTACATAGACTGAGGACCAGATTATACAACAATAAAAAATTACCCTTACAATAGTTATACGTAAATGCGCTCTGACAAACATTATCCAATACATTTGTTTTTCCAAAATATACAGTGTGCGCCATAAAGTTGGGTACATATGGGAAAATTCTTAATTATTCCTTTTTTCAAAAAACTTTTTTTGGGGATCGTTAGGGCATGTTCGATAACTAAAAAATCGATTATGACACATGTCATGCGGTTATCGGTTTGGCGGGAATTTTGAAAAAAGTTGATATAGATGTCGAAAAACGGGTAAATTTGGCAAGATATCAAAACATTTTATAAGAAAAAGTTGTTCAGAATCCAAAAAGAACCTCAATTGCCGGAAGGTCATAAATTAGAAAATACCGTCCGGTCGTGTCGCTATAACTGTACCCATGTTCCTTTTTGCACATTTTCTGGTCATCAGAAAAATAACGTGACATGTGTCATAATCGATTTTTTGGTTATCGAACATGCCCTAGCGATCCCCAAAAAAAGTTTTTTGAAAAAAGGAATAATTAAGAATTTTCCCATATGTACCCTACTTTATGGCGCACACTGTACTATGAATTCCAAAGCCGGATGATAGACATCCTCCTGTACCAAAGGACAATCAGACCTAAAAACATCAGACAGACACACATTTGAGATTACCAAATCCAAACAACACATGTGGTTAGGAACATTATTGCACTGATTAGAATTCTTCATGTTCAAGAAATTTTGCAAGACAACATTTTTACTACAAGTAATATCACATAAGTTAGGAATATTAAAGTCACCTATGACTAGTAAATTAGAATCACATATATCTGCTAAATCTTGTCCAAAAACATTAAAATAATTTTCATAAGACTCCACATTATTCTTTTGGACATTATACAACAGAAATATGAAATATTGGCTTTTTGAAATTAACCTTCACAAATATACACTCATTATCACAGTTAATACTTGATTCGTGTGGTTTTTCAAAGACAGTGCGACTTGTTTTAGAATTATTATTTTCAAAACATTTTAATTTGTCCTCTAAGGACTGGTTAAGGACTTTTGTAAGCTATTGGAGTACTCTTTTTCAACCAGGAGCTTATTTGTTATGTCCTGTTCTCTCCTAAGACACTCAATTTCTTTGTTCAGTACCTGAATTTCATAATAATTTTCCGTTGGAGATTTAAACTTGCATTTGCACGTGTTTATAAGAACTAATTGTCCTAACTGTTCGAAGACTACCGCGACTTGTGCCTTTTCCTAGGAATTTTATACTATAAAGCAGATAATTTGTTTTTATCCAATTTTTGCACTTGACCCTTAACTTATGTTACTATATAAAGTCATCATGGCTTAACTTATCTTGATTCTGGTGCACAATCAATTATTGCTAGTGCTAAAATGAGTAAAATTCTTCTTGAAGATAATATACCTTATATAAAGAAAGAACTGGAAGTGACTCTTGCTGATGGTGAAAATACTCAAGTTGAAGCCTACTTCTTTGATGCTGAAATAATGCTTCAAGATAGAATTCATCATATTTGATAGAAGAACACTTCTTGGAACAGATTTTTCGAAACTAGCCAATATAGTGTTGGATATGCCCAATGATTCCTGGTTTTATGGTGATTCTCCTGAAATTAAATATTCTTTTATTTCTGATGATGTCGCTATTAATAATCTAGAAACCTCCGATGCGACCAAATTCACACAAGATATTTTTTTCAAGAACTGATGAAGGACATAACCTTTCCCCTGAACAAAAGGATGTTCTGCAAAAAAATTTTCAAACTAATTCACTAGTAGTCAGCCTACTCCTTTTGCAGAGCATTCTATTAACCTCATAGATTTTACTCCAATTTTTTGTACCTCCATCTTGCATGTCTGAAATAAGAAAGGAGCAATTGCGAAAAGAAATTGATAAACTCTTAGCTGATGGAACTATAGAAGAGTGCGATTCTCAATATGCTGCTCCTGTGGTTCTTGTTCCAAAGAAAGATGGTGGCATTAGGTTGACTGTTGATTACCGCAAGTTGAATGTGAAAACAATAGCTGACAGATACCCCTTGCTTCGTATTGATGATACATTACATGCTGCAAAGAAAACTCGTTTTATGACAACTTTGGATTGAAGATCTGGTTATCGTCAAGTATCAGTCAAACCATCTGATCGAGACAAAACTGGTTTCATTTGTCCTGTTGGAACTTTTAGATATACAAGGATGCCATTTGTATTACGAAATGCTCCATCCACATTTTAAGGACTAATTGGTAATTTGGTGATTACGATTCACTAATGCCAATGCCAAGCCAAGGCTTGTTAAACCCTGTTCAATTTAACAACACTGCTTTTTCTACCATTCCACCACGGTGGCCTACACCAGCTGAATTTAGCCACACGCGGTTGATAGATTTCGTTCTGGACTTCAAGATATTGACATATTAGCGTATCTTGATGATATATTTATTTTATCAAACTCATTTGAACTTCATGTTAGTGATTTACAAAAAGTTTTTGATCGCTTAAAATTATTCAAACTCCAATTTAATCGTTCGAAATGCAAATTTTCTTGTTCTTCTGTCAATTACCTCGGTCATGTAATAAGTTCTTCTGGTATTGCTCCAAACTCAGACAGAGTTTCTGCTATTTCTAAAATACCAAATCCTCGAAATGTCAAAGAACTACTTTCTATCCTACAAACTTGTTTCTGGTTTCAACGTTTCATAAAAAAACTTCGCAGAAATTTCAAAACCTTTTACTTTTCTCATTAAAAAGAAAGTCAAATGGATTTGGGGCTCAGATCAAGTCAAGGCTTTTGAAAATCTGGAATCGCTTTTAACGTCAAGCTCTTTTCTTCAGCAAACTGACCCTAATAAACCATATATTTTCAAGACGGATGCCTCTAGCTATGCTATTGGCGCATGTTTACTCTAGTGGGAGGGGTCAGAAGAAAGACCAAGAAAATATGCCAGTCGTTTATTAACATCAGCTGAGCAAAATTACAGTACAGGATTAGTTTGCATATTTTTGGTTAGTTTCGTTACAGTTCATTTAATACCAGATCGAGAAGCTCTAGCAGTCGTTTGGTCCGTGACTGACTTTAGAATGTGCTAATGTTATCGCCGAAAGTGATCATCAAGCCCTTGAAATGGCTTACGACACTCAAATCACCTTTGGGCAGATTAGCAAGATAGTCTTTTGCTTTGCAATCTTTTCATTTGTGTATTAAATATAATCCTGGAAAAGACAATGTTGTTGCTGATATGTTATCACGCCCTGCAATTCTTGCAGCAGAAGCTAATCTTGTTATTGTCGATTTACCTAGACAAAAAGCAAATCAGATCAGACGTGAACAAATGGATGACACAGATCTCGATAAAATAATCCAATGTAGATGATGGTTCTAATATTGATTTTAAAAGATGGACTGAGAGAGGCTACATCATGAACTGTGGCGTACTATACCGTTATGTCCCTGAATTAGATGAAGATGAAGCTCAACAAGTAGTACCGGAATCCCAAGTTCCTCAAATCCTTCCGAGTACCACGATTCTCCATTAGCTGGCTATTATGGTGTAGAACGTACTTATCAAAGAATCGCTCGTTTCTTTTGGCCTGGAATGAGAAGAACCATATCTGATTATGTTAGTAAATGTGTAGACTGCCAACGTTATATAGCTACAGGACAAATACAGACTCCTATTCAAAGACAGCGTTTTGAAACTATTTCTATTGATTTATTTGGTCCATTATCTGAAACGCACGATTATTACGAAGGGATTTTCATAGTAGAAGATACAACAAGTAGATGGATAGAACTTTTTCCATTGACGGCAGTGTTCGCTGAAAATTGTGCTCGTTGCCTAATAGATGAAGTTATATTTAGATATGGCGTTCCCAGACGTTTTATTAGTGATAATGGTTCCCAGTTTGTGAGTGCAATAACGCAACAAGTTGCATATTGCCTAGGATTTGACCAAATTTTAATTCCCATATACCACCCAGAAGCTAACCCTACAGAACGGGAAAATCGAGATCTAAAGCCTCAACTTTCCATACTTGTTGGTAATGACCATACAAAATGGAAAGAAAAACTTCCAGCAGTCCGTTTTTCTATGAAAACAGTGTATTCTCAAGCTACAGGTTATTTCGCTGTTTACCTCACTTTTGGGAGATAGTTAAGAACCCCTGATGATGTAAATAGAGATCTTAGAATCATTGTGGAAAATGACAATTTTGTGTGTGAAATTACTCCTTACCTGAGATCTTTACCTACCATTTTTCGTCCAGCCCAATATGTACATGAAATTCAACAAGATAAATCTAAGAAATATGCTGACAAGAACAGAAGAGAAGCACCCATATTCCAGTGTGGAAAACAGACCGACGCGTTAGCGGAGGTCTGTTTTCTATAAGCAACAAGCTTGAGAAATTCGTTATAAAATTTATCAATGTCCGAGGGTTATTCCTCGGGTTATTCGGATAAAAAATTGTTTAACAGCAATGTCCGAGACAATGTCATAGAGTGAAAACAACCCTAGGGCTGTTTTCAGTATAATTTTGACATGATTGGGTGATTTGTGTCACATGACAAGAAATAACAACATTTAACTGGCTGTTAGAACTATCAAAGAATTTTCGAGCTAATTACCTTTGCCAAATCCTAATTTTGCTTCTCCACATTGATTGTTCCAGGTATGGCTTCTGTACTAGAACTCATGGAACACGGTTTTCCTAGCAGAACACCCTTTGCCGATCTACACTCTATGTACAAAGATTATTTGCCTAAAGAACTCAAACAACTAGCACCCAAAACTTTCTGTGAAGTAAGATAATAACAAACGCAAATGATTTGAAATTTTTATACAATTTTATAGGCAATGTTGCACAGTCTAAAACTCCAAGAGAAAGATTTCAAGTTTGGCATAACCAGAGTATTTTTCCGCCCTGGCAAGTTTGCGGAATTTGATAAAATCATGCGATCAGATCCCGAAAATCTAAAGTCCATCGTTGCCAATGTTAAAAAATGGTTGGTCAAATCTCGATGGATAAAGGCTCAATTCTGTGCCTTGACTGTTATAAAAAGTAAGGGCTTTATTATCTATTCACAATCCGATGTCCAAAGGTAAAGGTAAAATTTATCACCTTTCAGTGCTATTTGATAGGGAAAGGTGATAAATTTATCTTTACCTTTGGACTACGGATTGTGAATAGGATATACTTAAAACTTACAAAAAATTGCAATACAATTTATTTTTAGTGAAAAACAAAATCATCTACAGACGCAAGGCTTTGATAACAATGCAAAAGCATGTCAGAGGTTATTTGGTTAAAAAGAAGTATGGAGCAAGGATAAAAGCTGTTAAAAATATTCGTGCCCTTGATGCCAAGTTGAAGCGGTTAGAATCTATTGCTCAGCAGCTAAAAAAGGATAAAGATGTTACCTCTAATGGCATTAATCAGTTGAAATCGGAACTTAATTCAGCTATAGATAGAATTAAAGTAAGAAACGATTATTGTATAGCATTGATTTTAACTTAGTGCATATTTTTAGAAAGATGACAAGATGGATAATAAGACTGTTGAAAACCTATACAACGGATTAGTATTGAAGATTAATCAAAATATGGCAGGATTAGAAAAGAAAGTACAAGAGCAAAAGATTAGGGAAGAACAAGAAAGGTAAACTATATTATTTTTTTGGAATTTTGCTGCTTAATTGTATTTTTTTTAGATTGCGTAAAATCCAAGAAGAAATGGACAAGGAGAAACGTAAGAAAGAAGAGGAAGAACGAAGGGTAATGGAAGATAACGAGAACAGGAAAAAGAAGGCTGAAATTGAGGCCAAAAGAAAGTTGGAAGAAGAAACAAGGATTAAACAGGTAGGTGCAAACATATGTTTATATTTTTGTGGAATAAATTGCTGTTTTGCCTCAATGTAGGAACAGATGATTCTTTACTGCGCTGAAAAAATTGCCCAAGTAAGAATTGCATGCTGTGCATTACTTACACACTAGTCCATTTTGTATTAGTTTAGAAGCTCAAATCATTCACTTGTCCAATAATAACTTTGCGTTCCATTTAGATTTTTTTTCTTTCAGCATCATTCACACTAATTTGAAAAATTAAATTGATTTTCAGGAGGAAGCAGACAGGAAAATTGCATTGGAACTGCAAACTCAACAAGCAAAGATGGAGCAAGAAGAACGCCTGTTCCAAGAGCAAATGGAACAGGAAAGGCAAGATCGAGAGCTGGCTCTTAGATTGGCGCAAGAGAGTAACGGCCAAATTGAAGAGAGTCCTATGTTGGTTAGAAAGTGAGTATTGTGTTATCTCAAAAAGTGAAGTGAATTTTGATAGGGATTTTTTAAAATTTTATCTGATTATTTGCATCAAATACAATATTGACAAAAAATACGAACTTGATGCTGTTGACTCTTACTTACATTGATTCAAGTTAAAATTTTATCCTTAATATTCATTATTTATATGTAAATAATGTACAATAATTAGGGCCTAAGGGTGAAAGTCTATATAATGTAAACTATCTATTTACTTCTTTTCCATGGCCCATCAGTGGAATCAACGGAGTGGACTCTCAACGATCTTCGTTTATACTTAACAGGTACAGTGTACAAAACTGCACGTTGCACGGTTTTATTTACTAACACTGTATCTTTGGTATTTAGTAGTAGTAGACATAGTTTGTTTTAATACTGTAGTTATTCTGGCATGCAAAATTTCTATAACAAATTTCACAGGAATATATTGGAAGTTGCTAACATTGTGTGTATCACAATAAATAGTTGGTTGTTTTACTAAAATTATATTTTTTGTTTAGATCGGAAGCTGTCAGATCGCAACAAGCCCAAGCAAAAGGAAAATACGACTTGTCCAAGTGGAAGTATTCAGAGCTTCGTGATACAATCAACACTTCATGCGATATTGAACTTTTAGAGGCTTGTAGGCATGAATTCCATCGCAGGTAAAAAAAAAACACATTATAAAATAAAGTTTGCAATAATTAATCATTATCAAAAGGTTGAAGGTATATCATGCCTGGAAAGCAAAGAACAAGAAGAGGACTGTTATGGATGAGAATGAAAGGGCACCAAGATCGGTATTGGAATCTGCGCAAAAGACACCAAGGTAAGCTGAGCAACTATTAAACCTCTCCTATGGACATATTTTTTTTTATTTAGGTTGCCGCAAAAAGCAATTCTAGATAACAACTCGCAGCGCTACTTCAGAATTCCGTTCCAAAGGCCTGGAGGGGACGCCAACAAACGGGGTTGGTGGTATGCCCATTTCGATGGGCAATATGTCGCCAGGCAAATGGAATTGCACCCGGATAAGCAACCTATATTGCTTGTAGCTGGTAAGTTACCTACTGAATATTTTATATTTTATACCTACAACATATTGTTTCTACTTTGACTACAGGCACTAAATTTGAGTTGGTTTTATTTCTTTTCCTAGACACACTGATGAAATCTGATTGTAAACAGACTAATACAAGAACCGTTACTTCAAGAACGTTTATTGCAAACTAAACCAAAAAATTTATATTGGCACCCTCTTAGGTACCTGGAGCCCCTTTTTCATTTGACGCAGCTTCATAAAATCTGTCTATACTCATATCGTCGCTTCAGGTTCCCTAAGGTACCGTTAAAGGGTGTAATTTATCTATACTCGTTCGTCACATCGGGGTCCGTGTGGTACCGTTTTAAGGGTGATTTTCTTAGACATGGCTTACATGATAGATCGTGGATGGAAAATCGAGGAAAATTAACCCAGATTTTCACATTCTGTGTATATAGGAGAAACTTGTTTTTCCTATTTGGGGTTTCCCAACTAACCGATTTTTGGTCGGCCTATTGACAGTCAGTACTAATACAGCAAAATATTGTTTAGTTTAGTGTATTCTAGTCTCAGATGGCACCATGACCAAAAGTCTCCCAGCGTACCATTTTATACAACACAAAATATATTTTAGGAAAAGATGATATGCAGATGTGCGAGTTATCCTTAGAGGAGACTGGATTAACTCGTAAACGAGGCGCGGAAATTCTGGAAAACGAATTCAACAAGGAGTGGGAGAAAAACGGCGGAAAAATCTATGTCAGACCTGCAGACAGGAAATAGGGAAATTTTATTTATTGCATTTTTTTGTTTCATTTGCAGCTTTTCTTGAATATGTTATATTTTTTGTTCTTTATAGGGAGCTGCAACTGTACATTCCTCTTTTTTTGAGATTGTGGAGCCTTTTATTCTATTATAGGATTTAAATTGTTGCAATTATTAAATATTTAGCTTTACAGTATTAGGAATTTATATTGTAACATAATTATTATTGATATAAATATTCATTTGGATTTTTGTTTTATTATCATCCATGCTACACATTAGTACAAACAGTAAACTAACTTTTACTGGTATATAGAATACATGCAGAGTATATTCAAATAAAATACAATAAATTAAAAATAAAATCACAGAAAAAATTACCAAAAATACAATTCTTATAGCAAATCAATGGCATGACTTGGAAACCCTTTCAGTTCCCAAATTGTAGCTGCCAGTTTCCTAGCCTGCTCCACCATACAGTCCGGTGTCACCAATCCTAAATGCATCAGAAACAGCTCGTAAGTTCTTATTTTTCCCGGAGTGGTTTTTGGAAAGTGCGCCGTTTTTAGTTTCCTGTAACAGTTTCTATAATTTTTGAAAAATAATCTGTAGGTGGATCACTTACAAGTAATAATCCTCTTTTAAAATCCCGGGAATTGTATTGCCCATATTCCAGTTTGCTAATGGTTTAGGAATTTTCCCGGTGCTATCTTCGAACCAGAAAAAGTAACCGTATGTGAAAATTTTGTCCTGCCATCTTATGAAATGATGGCCCTCTTGTAAATGGGAATGACAGAAATCTATCATTTCCCAAATCTGAAAAAAATGCGTTTTTTTTTAGACCATTAAACTATGCTAAGAAAAATTCTTACTCGCTCACGTATGAAATCAGCTTTTTCAGCCTGCATATCTAGTGAAGGTGTAGTAACTCTATGAGTATTTCTGTCGATATACAAAAAGTGAACCAGACCAGGAAACCGTTCCAGATACTTGTTTATCGTTAGGGAATCTCTTGTACAGTCATAATTAAGGATAAAAACATACAAATAACCATGCAAAAACATAATTTAAGTCTTTTAAAAAGGATATGATCCCAACGAAAAATTCTTGATTCCTTTAACTTTGAAAAAGTCTTTAAAAACTTCCAAATCTATTGCGACCTTAGGAAACAAATTGGAAATATGATTTGTACTACAAGTTAGTAATGAGTCATCCATTGCAATGCAATTGTAGAGCTTTTTGAGATCGTCTAAAAAATTGATTGCCAGTGCTTCAGCTCTCAGGATGGATTCATTCAAGTTTGTTTTCAAATAATCCTAAAACAATTTTATATATTAGGGCCCGGTTTATTCATCTTCAGATAATCTTGCTGGTAACTATCAGCTGCCAACAAATCTTTAACTCATAGTTTGCTTTGTCAGGAAACTGATGTATTTTTGACAAAGTACCCTTTACAATTAATCCTTGCCAGAATAAAACTTACCTTATATTTCATATTAAGAACCTCCCATTTTTTCATTAATTGTTTATGCAAAGCATCGCAACTTTTAATTTTACATTTTCTCAAACCATCATTAAGTTTTTTGACCGCTACACTCAAATTGTCGTGACCAATTTGAATAGACTGTAATTCTCTTTGGGTTTGTAGGTATCGCAATTTGTGTAGATGTAAAAATGTTTCGTATAGAGGAGCGGCTACCAAAGGATCCACAGTTTCCACCAAGTATACCAAGAAAACGTTTTCGAAAAGTTCGATTAAGTGAACCGCGTGAGGCAGACACTTTGGCTCTTGCTCGGGACCAGATAATAATACTTGGAAACTTTCTATGGTGCCAGTTTTTTCAGACAGGCAATTTATTAAAATTGTAACAAACAAAATGTCAGCTGCCGATAGTTGCTTGGCGTTTGAACTAGAAATGTTAAAAATAGAATTTTTCGCAATAATTTGTACACAGTTTACCTAGAATATAGTGACAAAAGTTTATTATCAACAAACAAAAGCCCATGGACTTTTGAGCATTCAAAGTGAAGGGACAACTTTGAAATTGAATCTCTCAAACTCTGTATGCAAGTAGAGCTGATATCCCTATTTACTACAAGTTGCTCAACAGCTTCCACAAAAATAGCTTGATTTGTATTTCGTAGAGCTAACCATTTGTCTATTAGGAGTCCATACATGGTAGCTTTTGATTTATTTGCTTGGAACTGATAGATATCTGGGCCACAAATGTATCTAGCAAATGTGACATACATATCAATTAAATGCTTTATAACGCCATTGTTGATTGTCATAAAGAGGTAACCCATGTACTGCAAATTATTAAAAGTCAGTTGGTATTAATAGTGTTCGGTTTATAATGACTTACCTCTTGAAAGTAAAGATTCAAATCCTTACTAAACTCAACGGTAGTGTAGGAATTACTAAATTGGTAATGCATGATTTGATGAGATTGCACTATTGGGGAGAAGATTTGAATGAAAATGTTGTCGTCTATTGGATATTCCATTTGGTCCTATGAAAAAATACAGGAATTATATTACTTTGCCAAAAAGTTCTACCAATGTTTTTTCAACAAGGGAAAAAAATATTTCTTGAAGCTATTTCTTTGAAAAATAATATAAATTGTACACAACTAGAGATGATAGTACAATAATAGTGAATATAGGAAAGAATTAACTTTCATCATCACGTTGAGCTAGGAGCAGGTGAGTGGTTTAATTTTTGTTTTTGCAAAAGCACTATCAAATGTAGATATTAGATACAGCCTAGATGCAAAGTTGGCAGGATTGTCTTTTTTATTGTTAAGAAAGAAGTTCAGCGTCTCTGGATCGCTGGATTTAGCGGCACCTGCAAAAAAATTGTTGAAATCGTCAGCATTGCCCAATAAGTTTTTAGGTTTCAAATAACTATCAAGTTCCCTCAACAGTTTCCAGTTCTCCTTTGCCTCATTGTTTTGAATATTTGTTTGATATGACCTTTTCCCCTGTTATTAGGTATACTAACTGACGGTATTTCTTAGATGTCTAATGTCTACAGTAAGTACTTAAGTCTCCCAGACAGTGGCAGTTTTATTTCTTTCATATTTTGAAAGCTCTATCTTGAAGAGACATAAGATATTTTAAGTCATTTGTATATCTACGGGGTGGTGTATTTAATAAGAAACTCGATTAAAATGGAATTTAAAATTGACATGTTTAAATAAATATTCTGCACACCCTGTATTTCTTCATTTTTTGATTTAAGTATACAGGATGTCCAATAAGAGAATTAGGGGAAAAACTATGCTTTTTGGAATTACACTTTTTTGAGACCCCCTGTATACTTGATAATAATTTTTGGGTTAAGCAGAGATAGAATGTTGAAACTTTCATACAGAACATTTTCCCGTCAGTTCAACGGTTTGGCAACTATTGATCGAGGGGCGCTTTTTGGATCACCCTGTATAGAATAGATCAATTTAGTGGTCCCTGTATAGAGCTTGCTCGTTCTCGATAAATCAACTGAATATAAATAGAAACATGTTAAAAGTATTGATCAATTATTGTCTGATATCTCGCTCGACCAAACCTCTAAGGGCGGATATTATAAAAGTATTTTGATAAATAACTAAAAGTTAACTCCTGGAATGACGTCACATCTCAAATATAATCTCTTCCAAAAGTTAGCATTTAATTATTTATCAAAATAGTTTTATATACCCGCCTCGCGTCGAAATAAATTATTTGATAATTTGAAAGTTGAAATAATTAAGGATTGTTGAAATGTAATTATTTCAATAATTAATGCCAACATGACTTGTGACTGTGACTATATTCACTTCAGTACGTCAACTATGTCAGTTCGTTGTCATACATACTCTTTAAGGGCCGGTTTGTCAATAAGTCAATAGCGAGTCACCTTCGGGTTGGTTTTAACCCCAGGGTAAACGTGTCCAGTTGCAATGTTCACCCTGGAGTTATGCTTAACCCGGAGGTGACTTGCTATCGAGAAACCGGCCCTAACTCTCGTCCAAGAACACTCAACCAAGTAGGACTGCTGAGCTGAAAGTGTCTGCCATGTCGACGCAACAACTTTCCACTATTTGTGACGTCAGCCGCAGACCTCTACTCTTGGCGTGGAAAAATGCATTGTCCGAGTTTAAAACACTATAGGTCAAAAAAACGTTAAAATCACCTTCTCCACATGAAGTCGAGGAAAATATTAACTCACAAGCACAGGAATCGCAAGCAATCCATCGAGGTCTGTGGGTGACGTCACCACTATCAGCTGCTGATAGTTGTGGGGTCAGCCGCAGATCAGCTAAAGAGTCGAGAACTAGCGAACGTACCTACGCCTTAACACGTTAGGTTTGTATTTTTTAGTCAGGTCGCGTTCACCAGCACTCAACATGTTCAGTGATTAGTAAGCGGCTTTGTTCCAACAAGTGGAATACACAAGGTGGAACAGTTTTGATTGGCCTACAGTGTATTTTTCCCAAGATAGATTTTGACAATGACAACTTTGAAATATAAACAATGCCGCTTATTGGTCGCAAAATACCGTGTCCCTGCATTCGACGAAGGTATCGTTTCCCAACCATGTAAAAGGATCCCTTACGTGCAAGGACACGGCATTTTGCGACCAATCAGAGCCACGCGGTATTGTTTATGTTTCAAAGTTGACAATGTCAATCTATCTTGGGAAAAAATAGATTGTAGAGCTGATTTTCATCTGTTTTCAACAAAGCCGCTGACAAATCACTCGACATTAGACTTCAAATTAGGCATATACAACACTCCGATCGGAGTAGTTGGCGTCGCCGAATGATGCCAGTACACTCCGATCGAAGGGGTCGGCAGTCAACCTATAAGGTTGAATTGGGTTGAGCCTTGGAGCAAAGTTGAGCAATCCTGTTTGGTGGAGTGTTCTTGACTTTTGTCAGTATTATTTTTCACTATCAATAAATCTTGTGGACAAGACATGAATAATCAATAATTTGTTACCAAAAAAATTGGATCATTTACAAATACAATTTCACATCTGCCTATTAATTACCATCAATCCAGCACCTAAAAAAGCCACTACTCAGTACTCGGTCAAGGATTCATACACTATAACACAGGATAGCCTTAATGATAATACACACTACTACTACAGGATAGCCTATCCTCATAAGGCCTGTGTAGAACAAATCTAGAGCCTCTACCACGCCAAATCACCAGTTGTGACGTAGGTGGCATGTCGTTCCTTACCTTGACGTAGGCTGTTTTTGCACCACAGGTTATGATTCTAGAACAATTATTTTCTACATCTCGTTTTCATTTTCCTATTTGCCTAATATATTAATCAAAATTAAATAATGTTTTTCATCATAAATGTAAATTCTAAACTACGACCGCTGGCGCAAACAGCTGATGAATTTAATGACGTCGGCAAAGGTGATACACCAATATTGCGGCGATAATCAAAAACCAGGCCAGTAAGCAATCCTTAGTAGTGTGGGATAGTCTATTCTCGTAATCCTCTGTAGTTCATATCTCAAGCTCCCGACCTCGCCTTCTTGACGTAGGGTGTTTGCACCACTGGCCATGATTTCACTTGCTATTTTCTGAACTACAACCACTGGCGCAAACAGTTGACGCTAGCGTTGATGACGTCGGCAACAGTGCAGCACCATACGACCTCGATTCCAAAAATCGAAGCCGATGATTAGCAATCCTGTAGTACTGTGTATTATCCTTGCTACTCGGTTACCTTATAGTCGCTTTCCACTGACGCACTTGCACTCCTGAGCTGCTCTAGAGGACCCCAGGCTGTTTATACAGGCGTTCCAGTGCATAGAGTTTCGCGCACCTGAACTGTCCTTTTTGCCACTCCCCGGCCCTCTCAAGCAGCAGCAATTTTATGGGTGCATCAAAACACGACGCTTAAAGTAAGGTGCGTTCCAGTGAAGCAACAGTCGTTTGGAGCACCAGAGTCTGAAGCTACAGGTGTGGAGCACCTCAAAATTCGTCACTGGAAAGCGGCTGATAAGGGGCCGTGCAACAAAATGACAACTGCTCGGCTATCACAAATTTCAACAATAAACTGTGTGATTGTTTTGAATCGTTCTTTCTCCAAACCCGATCCAGGACGCGGTATCTGTGGTCTGTCGCTTTCTACATGTCGAATTCTAGTGTCGATTTCTACATTTAATATAAGAGGAAATCGTGTAGAAAACGGCGGGGCTTGGGGGTTCGAACCCCCCCCCCCCCCACGCCAATTGAACTGAATATTTTTTTTTTTAAGAAAAATAAAGGTTTTCGGGTGCCACGTCCAAAAACCTTTATTTTTCTTAAAAAAAAAAATATTCAGTTCAATTGGCGTGGGGGGGGGGGGGGGTTCGAACCCCCAAGCCCCGCCGTTTTCTACACGATTTCCTCTTATATTAAATGTAGAAATCGACACTAGAATTCGACATGTAGAAAGCGACAGACCACAGATACCGCGTCCTGGATCGGGTTTGGAGAAAGAACGATTCAAAACAATCACACAGTTTATTGTTGAAATTTGTGATAGCCGAGCAGTTGTCATTTTGTTGCACGGCCCCTTATCAGCCGCTTTCCAGTGACGAATTTTGAGGTGCTCCACACCTGTAGCTTCAGACTCTGGTGCTCCAAACGACTGTTGCTTCACTGGAACGCACCTTACTTTAAGCGTCGTGTTTTGATGCACCCATAAAATTGCTGCTGCTTGAGAGGGCCGGGGAGTGGCAAAAAGGACAGTTCAGGTGCGCGAAACTCTATGCACTGGAACGCCTGTATAAACAGCCTGGGGTCCTCTAGAGCAGCTCAGGAGTGCAAGTGCGTCAGTGGAAAGCGACTATAAGGTAACCGAGTAGCAAGGATAATACACAGTACTACAGGATTGCTAATCATCGGCTTCGATTTTTGGAATCGAGGTCGTATGGTGCTGCACTGTTGCCGACGTCATCAACGCTAGCGTCAACTGTTTGCGCCAGTGGTTGTAGTTCAGAAAATAGCAAGTGAAATCATGGCCAGTGGTGCAAACACCCTACGTCAAGAAGGCGAGGTCGGGAGCTTGAGATATGAACTACAGAGGATTACGAGAATAGACTATCCCACACTACTAAGGATTGCTTACTGGCCTGGTTTTTGATTATCGCCGCAATATTGGTGTATCACCTTTGCCGACGTCATTAAATTCATCAGCTGTTTGCGCCAGCGGTCGTAGTTTAGAATTTACATTTATGATGAAAAACATTATTTAATTTTGATTAATATATTAGGCAAATAGGAAAATGAAAACGAGATGTAGAAAATAATTGTTCTAGAATCATAACCTGTGGTGCAAAAACAGCCTACGTCAAGGTAAGGAACGACATGCCACCTACGTCACAACTGGTGATTTGGCGTGGTAGAGGCTCTAGATTTGTTCTACACAGGCCTTATGAGGATAGGCTATCCTGTAGTAGTAGTGTGTATTATCATTAAGGCTATCCTGTGTTATAGTGTATGAATCCTTGACCGAGTACTGAGTAGTGGCTTTTTTAGGTGCTGGATTGATGGTAATTAATAGGCAGATGTGAAATTGTATTTGTAAATGATCCAATTTTTTTGGTAACAAATTATTGATTATTCATGTCTTGTCCACAAGATTTATTGATAGTGAAAAATAATACTGACAAAAGTCAAGAACACTCCACCAAACAGGATTGCTCAACTTTGCTCCAAGGCTCAACCCAATTCAACCTTATAGGTTGACTGCCGACCCCTTCGATCGGAGTGTACTGGCATCATTCGGCGACGCCAACTACTCCGATCGGAGTGTTGTATATGCCTAATTTGAAGTCTAATGTCGAGTGATTTGTCAGCGGCTTTGTTGAAAACAGATGAAAATCAGCTCTACAATCTATTTTTTCCCAAGATAGATTGACATTGTCAACTTTGAAACATAAACAATACCGCGTGGCTCTGATTGGTCGCAAAATGCCGTGTCCTTGCACGTAAGGGATCCTTTTACATGGTTGGGAAACGATACCTTCGTCGAATGCAGGGACACGGTATTTTGCGACCAATAAGCGGCATTGTTTATATTTCAAAGTTGTCATTGTCAAAATCTATCTTGGGAAAAATACACTGTAGGCCAATCAAAACTGTTCCACCTTGTGTATTCCACTTGTTGGAACAAAGCCGCTTACTAATCACTGAACATGTTGAGTGCTGGTGAACGCGACCTGACTAAAAAATACAAACCTAACGTGTTAAGGCGTAGGTACGTTCGCTAGTTCTCGACTCTTTAGCTGATCTGCGGCTGACCTCACAACTATCAGCAGCTGATAGTGGTGACGTCACCCACAGACCTCGATGGATTGCTTGCGATTCAAGCTGTGCTTGCGAGTTAATATTTTCCTCGACTTCATGTGGAGAAGGTGATTTTAACGTTTTTTGACCTATAGTGTTTTAAACTCGGACAATGCATTTTTCCACGCCAAGAGTAGAGGTCTGCGGCTGACGTCACAAATAGTGGAAAGTTGTTGCGTCGACATGGCAGACACTTTCAGCTCAGCAGTCCTACTTGGTTGAGTGTTCTTGGACGAGAGTTAGGGCCGGTTTCTCGATAGCAAGTCACCTCCGGGTTAAGCATAACTCCAGGGTGAACATTGCAACTGGACACGTTTACCCTGGGGTTAAAACCAACCCGAAGGTGACTCGCTATTGACTTATTGACAAACCGGCCCTTAAAGAGTATGTATGACAACGAACTGACATAGTTGACGTACTGAAGTGAATATAGTCACAGTTACAAGTCATTTTGGCATTAATTATTGAAATAATTACATTTCAACAATCCTAGAATCAACTTTCAAATTATCAAATAATTTATTTCGACGCGAGGCGGGTAATATAAAACTATTTTGATAAATAACTAAATGCTAACTTTTGGAAGAGATTATATTTGAGATGTGACGTCATTCCAGGAGTTAACTTTTAGTTATTTATCAAAATACTTTTATAATATCCGCCCTTAGAGGTTTGGTCGAGCGAGATATCAGACAATAATTGATCAATACTTTTAACATGTTTCTATTTATATTCAGTTGATTTATCGAGAACGAGCAAGCTCTATACAGGGACCACTAAATTGATCTATTCTATACAGGGTGATCCAAAAAGCGCCCCTCGATCAATAGTTGCCAAACCGTTGAACTGACGGGAAAATGTTCTGTATGAAAGTTTCAACATTCTATCTCTGCTTAACCCAAAAATTATTATCAAGTATACAGGGGGTCTCAAAAAAGTGTAATTCCAAAAACCATAGTTTTTCCCTTAATTCTCACTATCTTATTAGACATCCTGTATACTTAAATCAAAAAATGAAGAAATACAGGGTGTGCAGAATATTTATTTAAACATGTCAATTTTAAATTCCATTTTCATCGTGTTTCTTATCTCCTGAGCTGCTCTAGAGGACCCCAGGCTGTTTATACAGGCGTTCCAGTGCATAGAGTTTCGCGCACCTGAACTGTCCTTTTTGCCACTCCCCGGCCCTCTCAAGCAGCAGCAATTTTATGGGTGCATCAAAACACGACGCTTAAAGTAAGGTGCGTTCCAGTGAAGCAACAGTCGTTTGGAGCACCAGAGTCTGAAGCTACAGGTGTGGAGCACCTCAAAATTCGTCACTGGAAAGCGGCTGATAAGGGGCCGTGCAACAAAATGACAACTGCTCGGCTATCACAAATTTCAACAATAAACTGTGTGATTGTTTTGAATCGTTCTTTCTCCAAACCCGATCCAGGACGCGGTATCTGTGGTCTGTCGCTTTCTACATGTCGAATTCTAGTGTCGATTTCTACATTTAATATAAGAGGAAATCGTGTAGAAAACGGCGGGGCTTGGGGGTTCGAACCCCCCCCCCCCCCGCGCCAATTGAACTGAATATTTTTTTTTTTAAGAAAAATAAAGGTTTTTGGGCGTGGCACCCGAAAACATTTTCCACCTTCGGCGATATCCTGGAGCTATGCTACGCCAGGTTACTTATACATCGTCTGGTATAAAATTCCCTTCCAGCATAGACCACGAGCCGCCACTGAAGATTCGAAATTCGAATCATAAGGCGAGTTCGAGTAATCCTCCGCGAGCTGAAAAATGGCACTGTTGGCAGAAGACCATTTGATCTTCGAGTTGAAGTTCATTGATTTGAAGTTACAAAACTGATCACATGGGCCTGTCTTTTTGCTCGCTGAGGATTAACCTTGGATTAACCGACTCCACTATACATCTCATAAAACTTATATAATTTTGATTTTAATAAAAGCCTTTCATAGGCCATTTTCACGCAAGGATAATACACACTACTACACAGGAATGCTTATCGGCCTCCTTTTTGGGGATCGCGGCCATATTGCAAAAGCACCATTGACACCGTCATCAGCTACGCCGTCAGCTGTTTGCGTCAGCGGTCGTAATTTAGAATATACATTTATGATGAAAAAAGTTAAAATTATTTAAATTTGATTTACTTATAGGCAAAGAGGAAGATGCACAAGAGATCTGAAAAAGAGTAGTTTGTTATGTTAATTGATGTAGTAATGGCCGTTTCCACCAACTATTTTAGGGAAGCCCTAATGATAAGTATTTCGCAGAATCATAACATGTGGTGCAAACACCCTAAGTCAAGGCGAGAAGCGACACGCTGCCTAGCAAACACCCTAAGTCAAAGCGAGAAACGACACGCTGCCTGCGTCTTCACTGGTGCTTTGGCACGGTGGGAGGCTTGAGATTTGCGTCTGGGGTTATGAAGATTTGCATTATGTTGAGGCAGCCCGGATGACGTCATAAAGTTATCAGACAACCTACCTCTAAACTAACCCAAACAACCTTGCCTTGAACGTTGATAAGTAATCTATTCGATTTGCAAAACCTACGCCACAGTGCGATCGAAATCACCCTGGGCGTCACACCGAGTGCACATCAGGAGTGCGTTTAGAAATGGAGTGTGAAGGTAGAGTAGTTCTTTGTCAGAGTGTTCTGACGTCATCACTAGGAGTGCACTCCGGGTGCGCTATTTCTGAACGTATTGGGGCGTTTCGGTAAATTGTCAATGTCAAACCCGGTAAAAACCGCAGGGCTGCGTTCAAAAACGGCTAAAGCCGAGCCAAAATTGGCATATTGCGTTCAAGTTCGGCTCCAGCGTGCCAAAAATGGTTGGCTTTACACGTTCCAAATCAGCCGCGGTAAAGTAACTTTTGGAGGCTCTTTCAACTGAGTCTAGAAATGGTTATACGGATTTTGATTGGATGAGACCAAATTCAATATGGCGTGGCGGCCAGGCAAGTTAGTTTTGAATATGGGTTTTCATGCATATTTCAATTATTTTGTTTGCTTGCAGCTTCGATTTTAATTATTCAATAAAATATTTGTTAACCAAGTACGTTAACTATTAAGTCGGGCAGAAACTAGATATTTTTTGTGTTTTTTTGGTCCATGAATGGTCGCCACGCCATATTGAATGTCACGTGGTTTGGATTGCATATTGAGAAACGGTATTTGGCGTTACAGCAAATTCACACCAGATTTGGCATTGCCGGTAGAAGGGGAATAGTAGGTTTTGGCATTAGCATTGCCGGCTTTGAACGCACTCCGGGGCGTTTTTCAACCCAGTACCTGAGTGGGGTAATTTGGGCGCACTCTGAGCGCGTCAACTCTTGTTTTCTGAACGATTCCAGCTTAGAGCAGGTAATTTCCTAGGTGGGAGGAGTAGGAACATGGAGTTGGAAAATGAAGCCAGTTTTTTCCAGGTATTTTGAGATCCAAAATAATGGCGGTATAGCTAATTCAATGCTTTACCTGTCATTTGGTGTACAAGCACCTGCTAAAAACTGGCTTCACTTTAGTTCCATAGCATAATGCCGCGTCCCTGCTCCTTATGTCCATAGGACAGCGCTTTACCTGCTCTAAGGATTCCAGCGTAACGCTCCGAGTAAGCAACTGTTAATTTATGAACGGTTTAGACTCTAGGGACACTACCACACCCAGCAATGAATAATTATTCATAGCTGGTGTGCACTCGGTGTGACGCCCAGGGTGATTTCGAACGCACCCTTGAACTGTCCTGACATTTCAAGAAAAACGAAGAACGTCAAAACGAAAAGTGGGAACGAGAAGTGAGGTTAGAAATTCACATTGTCAAAACATTGCAACACAAAATATAATTTTATAATTTGAAAATTAGCAGAAAATAAGCGTAAAACATGAACCAACTATTGAAAAACAACAATATCAAATTATTCCAAACACTCCTAACGAAACAGCTAAACATGTCAGTGGCAATTCGTAAAAAATTCAGCACTGAAATCGAAAATAAGTTCAAAGTAACAGGTTTGTTGGACGGAAGGCCCTTATATTTAGATGCACAGGCCACCACCCCTTTAGACCCCAGGGTTTTGGACGAAATGATGCCCTATTTAACGTCTTATTATGGAAATCCACATTCCAGGACTCATGCTTACGGATGGGAATCCGAGGCAGCAGTTGAAAAGGCCAGAAATCAGGTTAAAACACAACAAACTTATAATTTTGTTTTAATAATTCTCTGTATGTGAATTCTAGGTAGCAAATTTGATAGGCGCAGATCCCAAAGAGATAATATTCACATCAGGTGCAACGGAAAGTAATAATATAGCAGTGAAAGGAGTAGCCAGATTTTATGCTTCAAAAAAGAAACACATTATTACAACTCAAACTGAACATAAATGTGTACTGGATTCTTGTAGGGCCCTCGAAGCAGAGGGCTTCAAGATTACATATTTGCCAGTACAAACTAATGGTAAGAATTAGTTAATGTTAATAATTACAAAGACAAGACTATTTACGAGTCCCGGAAAATTGTTCAAAAATAATTGTTCGACCGGAAAATTCTTCGAAAGGAGAATTGTTCGAATGGAAAATTATTCGAAAAGAAAATTGTTCAAAAGAAAAATTGTTCGAATGGAAAATGGTTCGAATGGAAAATTGTTAATAAATGTACTTATTATACCTATATACGCCTCAGAAACGTAAATCCACTAAAAACGTGAAAAACCTTTTTTAAATACAACAGCTCGAAATTTCAATTATTTTTGAATCTCTGATTGCTTGCTTCGCTCACCAAATCTCAAAGAAAAGATCCGTGGAACCGTAAATTCGGCTTTGATACAAAAGAGAGCAGCTCAAAACCGAGCGGACAAAAGGGTGCAGGTCAAAATAATATATAATAATAATATTTCTAACCAGTATTAAATGAACTGTAACGAAACTAACCAAAAATATGCAAACTAACCCGTTCACATAATGCGTGCTAGTCCTTGTATGTTAATATTAAATTTAAAAAACAAAGCGCCTCCTATTGTCAAGCAGTACGCTTTCAGCCAGTATTAAACGAAACTAACCAAAAATATGTAAACTAGCCCAAACCAACCCAAAAAAATACAAACTAACCCAAATCAACCCGTCCACCTAATGCGTGCTAGTCCTTGTATATTAATATTGAATTTAAAAAACCAAGAATTAAGAATCAGGGACAAATATTGACAATTAAGGAATTGGGTAACTCCGGCCATAGATTCATTCACGATTCACAGTTAAACTATTGATTTTTCGGAAAAAAAAAATAAAAATTCCGTTCAAACAATTTTCTTTCGAACAATTTTCTTCCGAACAATTATTTTCGAACAATTCTCCCTTCGAATAATTTTCCGTTCCAATAATTTTCTGTTCGAACAATTTTCTGTTCGAATAATTTTCCGTTCGAACAATTTTCTGTTCGAACAATTTTCCGTTCGAACAATTTTCCGTTCCAACAATTTTCTTCCGAACAATTATTTTCGAACAATTCTCCATTCGAATAACTTTCCGTTCGAATAATTTTCTGTTCGAACAATTTTTCGTTGAAGACTATTTACAATAAGCTTTAAGTAATTCTGTACACTACAAAATAAGCCTGAAAACTAATTAAGTTTTATCTTCTGAATGCTTCTCTAAATATGCTACAGATGCTTAAATACATATGAAGCAATTACTAAAAAAAATGTCTTTCTCCAGGCCTAATTTCCCTAGAAGAACTAGACAAAGCAATAACACCAGACACCTCATTGGTATCCATAATGACAGTGAACAATGAAATAGGTGTACGTCAACCAATAGAAGAAATTGGTAGATTATGCAAAGCTAAGAAAGCATTTTTTCACACTGATGCCGCTCAAGCAGTAGGCAAAATACCTTTGGATGTGCAAAGTATGAATATCGACTTGATGTCGATTAGTGGACATAAAATTTATGGACCAAAAGGAGTTGGAGCTATTTATGTCAGAAGACGTCCCCGAGTGAGAGTAGAAGCCATTCAGAGCGGTGGAGGCCAAGAACGTGGTATTAGAAGTGGAACTGTACCTACACCATTAGCTGTAGGTAAGTGTCTATATGTCCTTATAATAATTCATTAGTTGTGATTAATAAAACAACAATTTCAGGACTTGGTAGTGCCTGTGAAATTTCACAGCAAGAAATGGAATATGATCATGCTAGAATAAAAAAGTTAAGCAACAGATTGATGGATACCATCTATGGAGAGTTAACACATGTTATTAGAAATGGGGATCCTGTTCATACATATCCAGGTAAAGCGATATTTAAACTTTGCCTCCTAAGACTAATTTTTTTTTTGTAGGTTGTATCAATTTATCTTTTGCCTATGTAGAAGGTGAATCATTACTCATGGCTCTTAAAGATGTAGCACTATCTAGTGGTTCTGCTTGTACTTCTGCCTCTTTAGAACCCTCTTATGTTTTGAGGGCTATTGGGACAGATGAAGATTTAGCTCACAGCTCTATCAGGTTTGGTATTGGTCGATTTACAACTGAAGAAGAAGTGGATTACACGGCCCGTAAATGTATAGATCATGTAACAAGGCTTAGAGAAATGAGTCCCTTATGGGAGATGGTACAGGAGGGTGTTGATTTGAAAACAATCCAGTGGTCTCAGCATTAAGTGAATATTTAGTTTTGTTTTATTGTCTCAAATAATAAGAGTTGTAGGGTGTAAATATTTCTCAAATTAAGTAAAGTGTTAAGTTTATGTAATTATCTTTGATATAATAAGAAATGAGTTTGTGGATATTTTTGTTTTGGGTTTACAAAGAGGATGTAAAAATTGTTTGGTGCTTTCTGACACTTACATAAAATAAAATTACTACCTATTTCTTAACAATAAATAAAGAGATCTTGTATAAGAGAAAAGAGCAATAAATGTAAATGTATTTCGTCTTTTAATGAAAAATAGTGTTGGAAACACTCAAATACTACAGTGTAGGGTATAGTTCTAGTTCAGAAAATTTTAGCATTGTTCTCTAAAGCTGGATTATAGGAATACCGTAATTCTTAACATGATGTAAAAAAAGTCCTCATCATTCTGAGGGCTGCTAACAGTTGTAATTACAGCACTAGTAAAAAGAAATGAAACTCAATATCATATTGCTTGAACTTACCTTGGAGATTAATTCCTGACTAAGGGCCAAATTCTTTATGTGTTTTTCAAAGCAGGAATTGTATTTTGTAAACATTAGATCATTTAAATGATCAAAAATCACCAGACAGTCCATTTTTTATGGAATAATGTGACGTGTTACTTTAATTTAGGTGAAATTGTTTGAATTACATTTTATTCGAGTTGTCTGGGAGATTATGAATAGAGTTTTTGAATTGAATTTAGCACTAGCAGACGTTTATTTATTTTATGTTTGTTTATTTTGAATTTTCATTAGATGGCAATCAGCTGATTCACGTCACGGCACTTTCCTAAGGTGCTTTCCAGTGACTGTGCCAGTGACCAATTGAGTTACTCCTGAGCAGCTGAGTGTTCCTCAATTGCTTTGCGCGTTCCAGTGCTTAGAGTGTCGTACACTTGAACTACTCATTCCTATTATCCCCTGCCCCCTCGACCACCAACCTTTATTTCGATGTTCCATGCTCCCTAGTCCGAAATGGTGGGGGTTGAGACGGGAGCGTTCCAGTGCTGTTTATGGGCGTGTTTGGGTTGACGCTCGGCGGAGCGAGCAGAACGATTACGGGGTACCGTGACGTCACAGGGGGTACACCGTGTCAAGCCAAATAAACTCGTGCAAAAGTGCTGAGTTGAGCGATCAGCTGATTGTTGTTTATTTTTTAGGATATATTTTTTGGAGTCCGAGCCCGCACTCCGCATTCGCACCAGAGTTTTTTCTTTCATTTTTTATTTAGTCGATAATTTTCAAATAGCCCCATATTCTTTTGCGTTCTGCTAAAAATATCGTGCTACATAAACAATAAAATGGACCTAAACACTCTGGAGGCTGCCAGTGCCAAGTTCCCTTGGACAAATATGTTCAATAATACTAGTAATGATGACTACCGAGGAAATTCAATTAAAAGTAAACAAATATGCAGAATTTACTAGCTATTTGATTGTTAACATTTAAACAAAATAGCTAAAACTATCCAACATCCAGCTAACAAATAAATATTAAAATTCAGGATTGTTTATTTTTTTCTTATCATGGAAAATAGGTTAGGTTATACAGATAGTTCATTGATACAGACAGATTAAACACATCCGATCTGCGCATGCACGCTCCAGCTGCCCACTCCACAAACTCGGAGTTTATCGAGCTCGCTCGGAGCGCTCAAAATATGTCAAACCAAACACAATCAAGCGTTGTCGGAGCTTCAAAAATAACGGAAGAGAGACAAAAATGCACGCTCTGAGTGCACCGATCGTGAACCCAAACGCGCCCTATGTCGAACAGTTCAAGAGCGTCACACTCCAGGAGCATGATACTCTAACAATTTATGCACTGGAAAGCAGCTTTGGTGTTCGGTATTTTGCTCAAAGAACAGAGCGTGCAGAGCGGAGCCGTAATCACATTACCAGAGAGCGCCCAGAGCAGTTAAACGCTGTATGCTGTATTAGAGGGCTCGAAATTTTCGTGAGCGAACGTGAATGAGCCTGCACCGAGCCTTAGGCAATTCAAACCATGTGACATTCAAGATGGCGTGGCGGCCACACATGGGCCAAAAAACACACAAAAATATCTAGTTTCTGCCCGAATTAATAGTTTAGGTACCTAGTCAAGAAATATTATATTAAATAATGAAAATCAAAGTTGTAAGCAAAACTCTATGTAAGATAATTTAAAATACGCATAAAAACATATCCAAAACAAACTTGTTTGGCGGCCACGCCACATTGAATTTTCCTGTTTGACAGATGGATTGAATTGCCTAATGCTCGGAGAACTCAGACCAAAATACCGAACGCACGGTTTTAGTAATAAACAGAGCCGCTTTCCAGTATGGGAGTGTGACGCCCGGAGCTACTCGGGGCGTTGAGCCCCCGAGCTGTACGTACGCGTCAACCTATCAGCTGTCACATCTGTGGGTGGCTATTTATCTATTTATTTCTTGTTATATCTCAAGATTGAACATTTTAAAATATATAGTTTTGATTCTCTTTCATTTTTGATAAATAAAAAAACAAACTGCACAAAAGTTGTATTCCTTTCACACCTAGGAGGAGCTCCGGAACAGCTCCGGGGCTTCACGCACTTATTCCTTTCGAAAAGTGTTTGTTGCACCACGCATCTATTCCCTGCAAATCGGGGGCGACTGAGCACCGAAGCGAGGAGCTCGAGTGTTTCAAACTCTTGAAAGGAATACAACTAAACAAACAGATAATTATTTTTAAAATTTGACATATTTGACACTAGGACAGGCGTCTCACGCCATGATACTGGAACGGTGCAAATCTAGTGCGTGGCGCCCCCGAGGTGCTCTGGAGCGCGCCAATGTGCATACTGGAAAGCGGCTCAGTACGTTCTCACCAAAGCAGGAGTGCGTTCGAAATCACCCTGAGCCGCTTTCTAGTATGGGAGTGTGATGCTCGGAGCTACTCGGGGCGTTGAGCTCCCGAGCTGTACGTACCCGTCAACCTGTCAGTTGTCACATCCGCGGGTGGCTATTTCTTTATTTGTTTTTTGTTATATCTCGGGATCGAACATTTCCAAAATATAGTTTTGATTTTCTTTAATTTTTAATAAATAGCAACAAACAAACTGCACCAACAAACAGATAATTATTTTTAAAATTTGACATATTTGACACTAAGACAGGCGTCTCACGCCATGATACTGGAACGGTACAAATCTAGCGCGTGGCGCCCCTGAGGTTCTCTAAAGCGCGCCAATGTGCAAACTGGAAAGCAGCTCTGGGCGTCATACCGAGTGCACACCAGCCATGAACAATTCATGGCTGGAGTGCGTTTAGAAATGGAGTGTGAAGGTAGAGTAGTTGTTTGTCAGAGTGTTCTACCGTCATCACTTGGAGTGCACTCGGGTGCGCCTTTTCTGAACGTAAATTGGGGTGTCTAAATGTCAACGTCAAACCCGATAAAAACCGCGGGGCGTTTTTCAAGTCCCTGGTGGGACAATTTGGGCGCACTCTGGGCACGTCAACTCTCGATTTCTGAACGATTCCAGCATAACGCTCCGAGTAAACACCTGTTAATTTCTGAACGGTATAGAGTTACTCTAGGGTTACTCTCACGCCCAGAGTGCTATTTCTAAACGCAACCCAGGTGTGCACTCGGTGTGACGCCTAGGGTGATTTCGAACGCACTCCCGAAGTTGGAAGTTGGATTGCCTTCCAAAGATGGATATTCGATATTCCTGTTTTCCTGTTTTTCTTCATGTGGAAAAAGGCTAATAATTAACGTAAGTATGCAAATTTCCTTATTTATTGCAAATGGCAACTTGTAAATTTCTCCAAACATAGGAAATTCAATAGCATCGAATAGAAACAAAATAATTACTTTGTGTCTATACTTGTCTACCAATTTCTCTCGAATTTCTTCTCTGTCCTTATTTCTCAATTTCTCATATTCCCGGCTCTTGAAATTGTCTAAATATAGAAAATTCAAAGCCTGGAATACAAAAAACATTATTTTCCATTTATCTACCAATTTTTTCTCATACTTAGGTACCTATATTTCTTGTCTCAATTTTTGTCTATTTGTCTATTCTCATCTTTAGAGTATTCGTTTTCTTCTTAAAATTTCGATAAATAGACAAAATTCGAGAGCTTAAGCTGGATTTATAGTGTCAGTAGCAGTAACAGTAACAGTAACAGTAAAACTTAAAACTTAAGAACAGATATGAAAATAACCATTTTTTAAGTTTTACTGTTAAGTTTGTTAAATGGCTCTACGGCAGGCTGTGTTTTAATATTTTACTGTTACTGCTACTGTTACTGATACTGACACTATAAATCCAGCTTTAGACTACCTAAAAAAAAAACTAAATCCAACGAAGCTACGGAGTGCACCAAAACATTGTCATGCATAGTGCACGTGATCCCTCAGGCGAGGCCTGGGCTGGGATTCTGTAACGAATAGCGATATTTTCGCTATCTCTATTGACGTCCCCTCTCTATTGATTTCGAAAAGAGTGAAGAAGACTGCAAGTGCCATGGCGATATCGATAACGATCTCTATGCGTTACAGAATTCCGCCTCTGGGCAGATGTGTTTGTACAGAGTCGCACTCGCACTTAGGGACCATCGAAATTTTATCAAATTTTATTAAATACCTAATATGCGACTAGGTATGGAAAAATTACTCAAAGGTTAACTAATAAAGAAAAACAAAAACCATTTTGTATATACATATAACATTTAATGAAGTACAAAAAAATGGGGACATTTCTATTTTAGGAGGACAATTGACAAACGGGTTAACAGTTTTCGATTTCAAAATTATGTTTATTTAATACTAGCGCAAAAATAATAAAAAATAATGATAAAATAATAAATACTTTTGTCATTTTAGTCCAGTTACTCAGAATCCGAAGAACTGCTAGAAGATTCATTAGGATTAATTATTATCGGATTTCTATCAACTAATTCATCAACTATGTGATCTAATTCTAACATTTTCACTTCTACCTTATCTTTTACATGTCCTACGCAATTATTCCATTTTTCAGCAGTGATAGACAAAACAGCTTCACTGAAAATATTTTTAAGATCGCAAAATTTAAAAGTAACATTTTTGTTTGCAACATAGTTTTTTATGTCCGCCCAAATAAGCTCTATTGGGTTGAGCTCGCAGTGATAAGGGGGAAGACGTAATACTACTCTATTATGTACGTAAATGACCATTCCGACCCTGTAACGATTAGGCCAAAAGCAATAAGTTCCCCTACCTTGGAAGTCCCCTACAGATTGCAGGTAAATCCGATTGGCCAGCGTGAGGGGTTTGTTTATTTTAGCCCAATAGATGCAAAGCCACGTGCCGATCATGCTTCGATCACGCACGGAAAGTGTTTTGGCCCGCTTTTTTGGTTCCATGGATATAGTAAGTATAAATAAAATACTTTATGTACGACCCACACTGTAAGAGCTTATTACGTAACTCATTTTAGCCTGTTTCAGTTATGTAGGTAATAAGTTGCATTATCATGCTTAGTGATGTAATGAGCTCATTACATCACTCAGTGATGTAATGAGCTCTCATTACATCACTCAGTGTTGTAATGAGCTCTCATTACATCACTCAGTGTTGTAATGAGCTCTCATTACATCACCCACTAATGTAATGAGAGCTCATCACGTAACTCATTTTTATTGAACAACGGCACTTTGTAAAATTCATTTATCAAAAATTATAAATATAATCTTTTGTGAAAAATTAAAACCATTTCGAATACATGAAAAAAATCTGGGTCGTACATAAAATGTTGTATATCAACACGTACAGTAATGCTCATTACACTACTCGTGTGATTACCACGACTCGGTCTAAGACCTCGTCTTGACAATATTCCCCACTCGTTACTGTAATGAAGCTCATACCGTACTAGTGATATAAATAACTATTATGTCTATACTTTGTCTACCAATTTCTTCTCAATTTCTCTCGAATTTCTGATTTTTCTAGTTAAATTTGTATCTATTCCCGGCTCTTGAAGTTGTTGCAATAAAGAAAATTCAAGAACCTGGAATTGCAACCAATTTTTTCTTAATTTTTCTTACATTCCTTCCCTTTATTTCTCAATTTTTGTCAGTTCCCACCTTTCCCAACTAAACAAATCTTAGAAACAATTGAAGCCAACAAGAATATGAAAGTACTGAAAACCAAGTCATCCAACGGAAAACAAAGAATTATAAACATCAAAAATCAATAAGGAGTACGATGCGAGCGATAAGAAATCCATTGTGGACGAAATTCTGCACTTTTAAAAAAACCTCTATACGTCTACGGTACCAAAACCACATATAGAACCTAGGAAAATTCTAAACAGAAGAAATACCCGAAATTACGTCTTCAGAACTAAAACATGCTTTAAGACATTTAAAAAATACAAAATCTCCAGGGGAAGATCACATAACTGTAGAAATGCTAAAACTGGGAGGCAACGAACTTATGAACCATATCAAAACACTACTCAATAAATGCCTCTCAGAAGGAAAAATACCAAAAATATGGGAAAATGTAGAAGTGACACTTCTATTTAAAAAAGGAGATAACACGAATATAGAGAATTATCATCCTATTAGCCTGCTTTCTCATTTATATAAGCTACTCACGAAAATCATTACGAACCGTTTAACAACAAAACTCGATTTCTATCAACCAGTCGAACAGGCAGGATTCCGCAAGGGATTTTCCACCACCGATCATCTACAGACCATAAGACAACTTATAGAAAAAACTTTAGAATATAATTTCCCCTACATATGGCTTTTGTAGATTATCATAAAGTTTTTGATAGCATCGAGACATGATCGTTTCTTGAGACAATGGATGACGCCAGATTCGATTCACGCTATTCCCTCCTTCTAGAACATATACTAACAAGCAATGTTTCATATAGCTAAAGATCGATGATGTCATGAAGACGAACAAAATCCCCCTAGGAAAAGGAGTGAGACAAGCTGATACCATATCGCCAAAACTTTTCACTTTAGCGTTGGAAAACGTTTTTAAAACAATACATTGGGCAGACAAGGAAATAAACATAGATGGAAGCCATCTCACTAACTTGAAAGAAGATGGGACTAAATATGAATCTTAGTAAAACGAAAATTCTTAGCAATGAAAATCTCCTAATAAATATAGATAACCACTGTAGAGAAAGTGGATCAATATATATATATACCTAGGGCATGTCATAAAGCTCGGTAAAGAAAATCAGACTGCTGAGGAGGATAGATTTGGCCTGGGCTGCATTCGGAAAGTTGGATTTCATCTTCTAAAAATAAAAACATTCCGCTTTCACTCAAAAGAAAAACATATGACATGTGTGTACTCCCTATTGCTACGTATGGACTGGAAACTATGACCCTTACAAAGAAATCTAAGAAAAAACTGTGCGTATGTTGAAGGGGTATGGAAAGAGCTATGTTGGGAACCACTCTAAGAGACCGAGTACGCAGACATTCGAAACAGAACAAAGGTCACCAAGATACTAACTCATACAGCAAAAAAAAAATGGCATTGGGCAGGCTACATAGCACAAGTGGACCCAGATAAATGGACATCTAAAATTACATTCTGGCGACCTCGAATAAAGTAAGCGAAACGCCGGACGCCCTCAGAGACGGTGGAGAGATGACATCAGGCAAATCGTTGGAATCCAATGGAGAAAAATTGCCGAGGACCAACGAACATGGAAAAATCTGGAAGAGGCCTTTATCCAGCAGTGGACAGTGGACGAGTACAGGCTGACGAAGAAGAAGAAGTACCCTATTGTCGAAAATAGGGCAGTCTACAATCAACTGAACTTGGCAGCTAAAAGTGAAGATGCTCGTTTATCGATTACCTATTTGAACTGCTTTATCCCGAACACTTTGGACAGAATACGGAGAAAACTCATAGGGCAAAAATCAGTCACTTTACTGGGAGACAGCTCTTCATAGGGACTAGAACAACTTTTGCATCCTTCCAGGGTGAAAAATGACAGGAGATAAACATTTATTATTAGTGAGGAGACCTTGAACATAGACATCAGGAAGCACGTAGGTACTAGCATTGTAACTTTGACAAAAATTTAAAAAGCAAGTACCTATATGAGTCTTATAACTCCTAATGGAATTAACTGGAAGTTACTTTTTCAAATATGATAATGTGTCGTCATTTTATATTATACCTACCTAAATAGATTTAGATACAGCTCTTTTTTACGTTGATCTTAGGTTTGACCTTAGCTTTGTCCATAAGATTGTATCTTGAATAGTGAAGCACTTTGTGATTGCTGTGATAACAGACTTTGTTTAAAAAAAAAAAAAACAATTTGCAACTACATGGAAGTTTATCAGAGGCCTATTAGGCAGTTGGCAGTTACCCAAAGGATCGATTTTACTTGGTCATTTACTGTGTGGACTTAATAATCTTGAGACAAAAGGATTACCACCAGTTTGGGAATGACTTTAATTTAGTTCAAAAAATATCAGCGATATGGTACCTTCAGAATGCTTATCAATTTTGAGTTTTTTTTTCACCTTCAATATACATTTTCCACTGATTTTACGCATCAATGAAAACTGAAAAACAAGATAATACAATAAAAACAAAGTAAATTGTAATAAACATTTTTTATTCAAACCTATATTCTTACATAATATACATAGTACAAAAAAATTATATCCCAAAGGGATGAAAAAGGAAAACACTTTCTGTACAAAACTTATAATCTAGACTGTACAAATATAACTTGTAAGCAAATAAATTACTGTTCTTTTTTTTTAGAAACAATATACACATATATATACGAAGTTAATAACTAAACTTTACAACAACAAAAATTGACGGACAATTTGCCTTGACGAGTCTCAACCTACACCTAAGTAAGTTGAAGTTGAAAATTAAAAAGAAATAAATCGTTGTTTTGTTTAACAAAATACACAATAGAATCGAGATCACTTTGACAGTTTTTGTCAGTAAACCTATAATTAAATTTCCATTCCCCCTCTCTCAACAAAACTATTTTCCAAAAAAAAAAACAAAACAAGAACTTTTGCCTAATTAGTTCAATTGGCACTTTTTAAAATAGCACTTTTAGGTTTAAAGTTTGTTTTTGTTTTTAATAATCACGAAACCCACAAATATCTCCACAGCAGCGAGTTTTGGGTAAATTTTCAAATATCAATTTTCTTTAGCTAAAAATACATTTTTTCGAATAGGCACAGTATTACAAGATTTTGAAAATAACACTGATACTTGATAGATTACATTTAAATAATTTCACCTATTATTAAACACTCTTGATAAACAAATCAAAAATTCAAATATTAAAATCCTTAGGACAAAACAAAAAAGAGTGTTTGATAAGGTTACACAAAAATCGACTTTAAATAACATCAGACAAAAAGTTTAAACAGGCTAAATACAAGTTGGTGTGCCTGGAATGGACACAGAAAATCTACAACAGGAAGTTTTACCGTGCAACTTGCAACCGAATTTAAAGTCTGCTTTGTACAGGGTCTTCTCTATCCTATGTACAAGTGAGGAAACGGGACCGGCTAGGCCTAAGGCCGTATGTACATTTTTTTAAATTTTAAATTCACACTAATAGCCCGGATATTTTATTCTTATAAGACAATTATTGGTTTTTGACAAGTGATATTGAAGGATAAATAATTTAGATGAATAAGACTACCATCAGAGTTTAATCTAAGAATTGAATTGAAAACCCATAATTTTGAAGACATTCTTTGGTTTATTCATCAAATTATTCCGGCTTCAAAATCTTCAAAAAACCTTGCCAAAACACCAGACAAACAAATAGAAAATTATTGAGCTATAAGCGACGATAATATAATATATCACACAGAATCGCCATCGGCCGAAGACTCAAGATTATCAAGTGCAACGGCGCGACGGCCTAGTTTTTTATTTATTATCGAACCTAAAGTGCTCAAAGCGTCTTTAACGGCATGGTAAATAATGTTTTTAATTTGCAATTTATCCTCGTGATTAGAATGGGTGTCGCTAAGTTCACGAAATTCTTGGGTCAAGTGGAAACAGTGAGCCACATTTTCGGGACTGACAAAATCCTCAGCTACTTTGATACAGTTGTGTAAGTTGCGGACTTGGTGGGGAGCGCCTGCTGGAATAAAAACAGCATCTCCCAGGCACTGTACAATCGCGTAACCTTCAACTCCGTATTCTTTGTAAAGTCTTTCACGTAGAGGACCATCTAAATAACCACTTTGATCGTGAATAGGGTCGTTGTGTGGCTCTAATCGTCCACCCCGTTCCACTGTAACTTTATTTAGTAAGTCTCTGATTTTATCAGCGTCACGCGCGCTATAAATGTGCCACAAAGCACCAGGTAGTTCGCCTTTATCGCGCACCCGTCGTCTAGTTAAAATATCACATCCAGCTTCATCGATAGCTCGGAATGCTTCTTTAATATGTTCATCAGAATCGCCGTCTTGTGGTACACCAACGTAAACCATAACATTTACAGCATCACTGACGTCCAAATGTAGATTCGTAGTTCCTTTGTTCGGATGTAAAGCTGTACCATAGGCATTGTACATTTTAGGCCCTAAATCTGGCTTGACGAAACAATCAGGTAAACGGGAAGCTAAATTAAGTTTACCACTACGTCTTGTATATTCTTGCAAAGGCAGCACTTGCATTAAGTCTTGGAATCTCGCGGGTAGCATTTCCGCAAAGTCCTCACCCGGAGGCCAGTCTTTAAGTTTCAGCAGCATTGGCAGTCCTCGGTCGTCTTTCAATCGTTTTGACGGCTCCTCGAACCCCTCCCAGAATTTGCGCATAGGCTGATTTGGAACTATGTTTCCAGTCATGCAATTTACAAGGTCGTTCTTTTCGTCGCCAAAATCACGGGCGAATGCTTCTGGGTTCCATAGACTTTTGTCTATCGTCTTACAGACGTCAGATACTATCACAGGTTGACCTCGTTTCCATTGTTCCTGGAACAAAAAAAGAAATTTGATCTAAGATGATTTATACACATTAAGATAATGGACTGTTGCTAATTTAGGTAGTCGAATAATAAAAGATGCAAAACAAGCTGGAATAATCTTACAGTTTTAGAGATGCCAAAATTGTTTATTTTGTATTGTCTGACACATTGCGGCTAGTAATTGCATTTGAGCAGACCACAATAATGTCAAATTACTATTCCACACACATGAACGTTTCAGTAACTTTGGTTAGCGCTAAGAAACTGCCTGAGTGTGGCTTTTATATAAATCAATGTCAAAATAAAATTCTTACCTGGAAAATTTTGTTGTTGTCCTTGCAAACTGGATCGCTCAGCCGCAAAAGCTTGCCATCGCACAGCCAACTATGTGGAACATTCGGATACAAAATTTTACTCTCTGTTAGAGTCATTATTCTGATTGGAGCTTGCTGACGGCCCCTATTCAGCCAATTATATCTTCTAACAAAATGTTTCAGTTCTTTTTTCAAATCTTGCTCATCTTTTTCTTGTTTAATAGGCGAGCGAGTAGGAGAGTTATCCTGTCCAAACAACAATGGATCGTTGTCATTATTTTCGGATTTAGTTTTCTTTTTGTCTCCTTTTGATACTGGGGACGCAGCTCTTGAAGATCCATTCGCTTTATGACTTGGCCGGATAAGTAGTTCTCTTAGAGTTGAAAAGTTATCTTCCTCTTCGCTACCAGAACTTTCTTCTTTTGGTTCTTTTTTGATAACAGGTTCTTCAGATTTTGATAAAGCAATATCAGCCAGATAATTTAAAGATGATTGTTTTTCATCTTTCACACCATTGATAGCAGGTTTTGGCTCTTCCTTAATCTCTTTCTTTAGTCCATTCAGTTTTTCAGCCATTATACTTTTAACTGCTTCTCTGCATTCTACATTGTTGACTTTGGGTTCTTTGGAGCCGGGACAACCGCAGAATTGCTCAATGGACCACAATTCCCTCATCTCATGGACCATTTTTCCTAGTTTAAGTAAACAATCATCTGCAATTATTTGGGTTAGCATGAGTTTTTCCTGCTCGTGTGAGGAACGATTTGTGCAAAGTAACCACATGAATTCGTCACGGTCTTTGCCTGGGTCATTTGAACTTTTTGTTGTACCATTTTTACGACTCTGAAAAAGGAAAATGAACTTTTAATAAGCTGAATACAAGATTTAGAAACAATAGCTTTTTTTAATGCGGAAATGTATGACACATTGTGGTTAGTAATTGCGTTTAAGCAGTCCACAATGTAGTCAAATTACTATTCCACACACATGAACGTTTCAATAACTTGGGTTAGCGTTAGGAAACTGCCTGAGTGTGGCCTTTAGAATTCGCAGTATTCCAAATTATGAAAGCAATTTACGAGCTCAAAATTTTAATAACAATTGAATGATAAATTTTAAGAGTAAATTTGTTATAAATTATTCTTACTTTGTAACAATCTAGACACACCACGAAACCACATTTTCCGCACGCCCAATGATAATTGAATAATGTGGTTTCACAAACATCACACATTTCTCTTACACCTTGAACAACTCTCTTCCAGGCGACTGTTTTATCTAAAAGTGAGAAAAAGATATTTAGGAAAATGTATTTCATAATGTTACCTAAATTACTACAATTTAAAAAAAAAAATCTGCTTACCATCAGATATATGCTCTTCGTGGGCGTCTTTTTCTTGTACTAAAAGATCACAAAAATGATCGCCAACTTGCATTAGCAAAAACTTGGAAGTTTCCAAGTCCAAATCTGATGGTGGATTCTCAGTGTTAGGTAGCCATAATTTAATGTCGTCCTCTAAAGCATCCTTATGAGGATCACTGAAACCAGCAATAGCTAATTGTCCGTTTTTAGTGTACCTTAGCCTCCTAAATGCATAGAAGCGACAAAAAATGTTTGGCATGTTTCTAGATCTTTGATTAGGCGTCCATCTGCATTCTCTACATTTGGCTAGTTTTGGAGCTACCTAGAAAAAATTTAGAGTTATATTTCAAAAAATCTTTTGAGAGATGGAGTAGTCATTACCTCAAAACAAGGTCCGTCCTGTAAAAAACTTTCGCCTGTCTTCTTCAGCTGGCCCACTGGGGGTTTGCGAAAGGGGTCGCGCGGGGGCTCTTCCTTAAGTTTCTTAGCGCGCGGCTCCTCGCCCTTGTCGTTTTTTGAACTCTTTGGTCTTCGGCCCCGTTTTCTCGGTTCTTTTCCAGGCTTTTTTCCGATTCCGGCTCCAGAGACTATTGTACTTGCACCAGAATCGCTGTCTTTTGCGCTATCTGATTCTTTCTCGCTCTCACTACCACTCTCACTTTGAGGAGGCTGAAAACAAAATAATTCATCAGCGAAATTCATCAAAATAATATTAAGCGTTCTGTAATTCACAAACAACCTCAGAGGGACATTGTTGGAAAGTAACTTACCACTTTATCACTTTTTCTTTTTTTTTCTTCTGCTACTTTTTTGGCTAAAGCATTCCCTCCTCCACCTTTTTTCCGTTTCACTTTCGGCGGTTTTCTTTTAGGTGGGCTTTTCCTTCCACCCCGTTCCGGATCAGAACTGGACGAATCGTCAGCGTTCTTTGCCGATTCGTTCGGATGTCCATTAACGTTGTTTTCTTTGGGTTTTCGATTAACAGGCTTTGGCGAAAAATGCTTAGACTTATTGATGCTATTGACTGCCATGCTTCCTATGGAATGGATGGAATTTACTGGGTTCTCGTTTTTTATTACAGGTGGAGGACTAGGGGTACTGATGTTTAGGGGTAGGGTTACGCAGCTACCGGAGCCTGTCACTCCAGTAGTGTCTTCTAAATCTTCTCCCGTGTGTCTTTGTAACCAGGCCTGGAAAAGAATGAAATTTGAATTAGAACAAGTAAAAATAGGCTCAAAAGAACAAAGTTTACTTCTTATCTTATACTGGGCTTCGTTAAAGACATTGAAAGGAAAATCGAGTGCAAAGAGATCGCTCTCACAGTATTCATTGGCATAGAGGGTGCCTTCAACAACACCTCACATTAATCAGTCGCTAGAGCTTTACAAGAATGGAATGTTAAAGTCCCAGCTAAAAAGTCGATGCTAAAACTATGTTACGTTACGGCTGAAATAAACGGAGCATCGGCAATCGCTACCACGGCCAAAGGGTGTCCTCAAGTGGGTGTTCTTTGCCCACTACTATGGACATTAGTGACACTGAGTAGTGCTGGATTGGTAGGTCAAAATTTGAACGCCCCTACCCTTAAGGGTACACAACTAACATTTTCCAACGAAGTGAAATACTTGGGGGTCACCCTGGACCAAACACTCACTTAGAACAAACAGTTAGAAAAAACATGTTCTAAAACTATATCAGCCATCTCATCATGCCGCAAACTGATTGATAAAACATGGGGGCTAAAGCCAAAGATGGTATTCTGGATTTACCAAACTATAATAAAGCCCATGGTCACATACACCTCATTGGTATGAAGGCTCAAAACTCAGCAAGTCACCGCTCAGATCAAGCCAAACAAGGTACAAAGGCTGATATGCCTAAGAATAACGGGAGCAATGTCGACCTGCCCCAGCACAGCCCTAGAGACGCTGCTTAACATGCCTCCACTTCACCTATGTGTGAAAAAGGAGGCAATAATCAGCGCTCACAGGCTATCCCAAACAGACAAGTTCAAGCCTGGTGATCTGAGGGGACATCTGCACATCTTTGAATTAATAAAACTGGAGAATGCCAGCAAACGAAGCAACCACATGATGGTCAGAACTTAGAGATCCCATTCGCAGTAGTAATAAACGAGCCCCAATCATGGAAGAATGAAGAATTACCACAACCAGACAATGCATCTCTATGGTAGGTACACAGATGGATCCAAACTAATGGAAGGAGCTGTACTGGGCATTTCCGCCCCTAACTTCAAGCTCTTAAGGCATTGGGCAAACATCTTACAATATTTCAAGCCGAATTGCTTGCCGTAAACATATGTGCACAAGAGTGTCTCAACCAAAGCCTCAAAGGAAAACACATATTCATACTATCAGATAGCTAAGCTGCCTTAAAAGCTTCAAGAGCTTTCAAATGCACCTCAAAACTAGTCTAGGAGTGTAAACAGACCCTAAAAACACCAACGACACACAACCTGGTAACGTGATGTGGTTGCCTGGTCATCGAGGTATAGAAGAAAACAAAGAAGCAGATGGCCTTGCAAAAGAAGGGGTCTCAACACCATACCATGGACCAGAGCGTTATTGTGGCTTAATGAAAAGCTACATCATGGAAGAACTCAACAAATGGGAGAAAAACCAACTGTCATCATATTGGAGGCACACTCCGGAACTAAGACGGTTAAAAAAGTTTATCTACTTCCAGCAGAGCTAACAGCTCCTAAACATGAGCAGGTCATTCATCAGAATGGTCGTAGGACTGCTCACATGACACAGCCTGGTGAAATATCACTTAACACATTGCGTGCCACGCTGTTATCGGGAAAATACCCCCAGGGGTTAAACCACTTTTTGCAATATTTGTATGTATTTACTCTCAAATATGATCAACGTTTCTTTTTTTTTGCTTTTGATGGCAAGAGAGATATTCTCATTTTGTTTTTAGAATAAGCTATTGCAGAATAAATTTTGTTTTATTATTACGTAAAATCAGCTATTTCAGAATAAAATTTTATGTTTTTAATATGCAAAATCAATATTTTTCAAAAATTTTGTTGTAGTGAATTTATTTTTCCAATTTTGCTCAAACCAAGACTCATATTATTTTCCCCAGAGGCCAAGCTTCGGATTCTCCATTTAAAATACACGGTAGCGTATATTTGATATACATGGCCAGAAAGTGAGAGATGTGTGTCTCTCAGAAATGAGCGACGAAGCCCTCAGTGAAATGTTGATGTCTCGCATATATGAGCGACGCGGCACGCAATGTGTTAAGGTTAATAGATAGAGCAGAAGACGATTTCTGCAGATTCTGCTCAGACACAATAGAAACCGCATGAGCACCTGCTCTGCGCATGTCCAGTTCAATTTTGCAAGAGGCTCAAATTCCTCAAGGGGGCAACACTGCCACCAGAAGAAGTGGGCCAACTGACACCCAGAAAAATAGTTTCCTTGGGCAGAAGTCTACGCTTCCTAGAGACAATTTGAGATGTAGAGTCAGTAGAGTCACATACAAAATATTTGAAAGTAGCAGTGCTGAACGACTGGAAAGCCAAAACAACTTCCCCACAATCTACAATCTATAGTGGGTAAAAATGCAAAAACTTTAATACATATCCATTTGCAATAAGTATAAAGCTCATCGTATTCCAAATGTTCCAAGAAATTAAAGCAAATAAGGGAATATTTCAAATATTATTATAACTAAAATTTCAAATCTAAATAATTCTCACCTTTTTCAAATGTCTAACTGGATATGTCCCCGCAGAAGTCTTCTGTGGTCCAGGACTATTACTCTTTTCCGAATCCACAACGCTTGGAGTCACAGGTCCAAACTTACTAGGAGTTCCTGGACTTTCTTCAGACACTGGAGGCGTCGGAGCACCGTCATTGATCCCCGTATTTGAGGTATTCGTAAAGATATTTGGAGTACTAGTACCACTAGTGCCGTTATTAACAGTCATAGGTACACTATTATTTGAATTAGAGGCACTACTTCCACTTGCGATGCTAGTCGGTGTTAGGCACGGGTTAGGTGTGCTCGGTTTAGGTGGCAAACTATTAGGAGTACCAGTGCTTCTAGATGGCGCAGGACTGGAGCTAGGAGGTAAGCCTAAAGGGGTTCCTGGTTTGAGAAGGGGAATGGAATGTGTAGAGTCTGTACTGGCTGGTCTAGGTAGTTCTACAGTTACAGCAGTGACACTTAAGTCAGGGAGGTTTTCAGTTAGTAAAATGGGCGACTGGGTACCACCTAATAGGTTCGGTGTGGTTGTAATTGGAGCCCTGAAAAAACGATTTGTATTTGAATTTTGTGATTTACTTTTTGCACTGTTAGAAAAAAACTTTTTAGAATATTCTGGACTTACCTATAAGCAGCAGTATTAACCAAAGTCGTTATCGTAGTAGCCACACTAGCAATCAGTGGACTAGGCTCACTAACTCTGGCCAATTGTGGCTGTCCAGACATGCTGGATTGGGCCACCAGGTTCATAGCAGGCACACTGTTGATAAAATTCTTAAGGTTCGGCTGCATACCTGGTATCATGCCAGGAGGAGTTTCGACTCTTCGCTTTTTAACTTCGAGGCACACGGGCGTACCTATTGGGGTGCTTTTTCTTTTTGGTGAAGTTGGTTGGCCATTATCGCTGCAAAATTATTACAATAGAATGAGGCATTCCAAAAAAATCAAAATTCTTACTTTGATTTATTTGAGCTGACTCCCAAATCCAAAGGTTGAGTTTGGACTTGCTGCTGTATACCTAAAGGTCCAGGGGATATGCTATAACTTGGATGCGAGCGTGAGGTATGCAAAGGAGCGGACGCTGCTGTTGGAGGCGACGTTCCAGGTTGATTTAAAAGTTTCACAGATAAACTAGCTGGTGGTATGCTTGTAGGATAAGGTAGCCTCTCGTAATTCATTGCAGAAGTCGTCCGACTACTATGAGCTGGCGGTGGGCAAGTATTTATTGGTGGAGTTGGAACCATTACTGGGGCATGGTACTGAGAAACTTGCTGATAAGGAGATGGCGATATACTTGCTCCTATCGGAGGTTTATGCATAGACATTGGCGGTTGCGAGTCATGAGGCCTTGTTACAGGTACCACACTAACTGCAGTTGGTTTGCCATAAATATGATGTGGCGCAGGAGAAGAAACTTTAGGTTTTGTTCCTGCAGATGTTGGTGTTGAAGCCATAGTAAATGCTGACGTAGATGAAGGAAGAAACGAGTAGTTTGCTTTGGCTATATTAACAGAAAAAAGAATGAATTTTTGTTTAGGGTTTAAATGAGGTGTTTTTTACCTGAACTGGGAAAAATCATAGCTTGAGCTGCAGCTCCAGCTTCTTGCCTGTACCGAAGCTCTGGAGAAGGATGCTGTTGACTATGGGGATGCATTTGACCATGTGGTGACTGTCTTTGGTGGTGCGGACTAGGCAACTGCCCACTGGATCGATGGTGAGAACCAGATTTTGCTTCTAAATGATGGTGTGGACTAGCAGCGTGAGGGTTCAAATGGTGAGGGCTTTGAGTAGGACTTCTATACTCGTACATGCCTTTTTGCCCAGCCCCACCTGAAGCTGTTATGTAATGACTCATAAGTTCATTCCTCATTTTAGGGCTAGGACTTAAACCTATCGATACCCTAGGTTCTACATGATGTGACGATTTCGCATCATGTTTAACAATCACAGAACTTTTGCCTTCATTAATCAAAGGTGGAGGATTAGGCAAATCCCTACCATCCATGTTGGTTTTGGTCACCACTAAACCGCTAGGGGTCGTTTTGTGGTGCTCTGATTTCTTTGGTTCATAGAAGGCATTCGCGGAAGGGTGGACTTGGTAGCCATACATAGCCAAGTCCGTTTTTGGTATCATTGACGGATGAATATTCGTCATTTTTTCAGTCGTTTTGCCTGACGATAGTCGGCTATGCGCAGGCGGGGGTGGATACTCTCCTTTTGGCATGGTCATTTTAGGTGGAACTGTAGCGTAGTAAGACCTGAATAAATATTTTTATAAGATTAACTTCAAAGATTTATAAAAATAGTTGATAGTAATATTATTGAAACATCAGACACAGATAAAAGAATCAGCATTAGCTTCAGCGATCTTGGTGGAAAAAATGTCATCATGAAAATCAAGTTTACTAATATTGAAAATAGTTTGAGTAACTCTTACCTATGGTTAGCTTCAGTGGCTCTCACAGCCGCTAAATGCCTTTCCCTTTGGTGCATTTCTTGCTTCCTGTCCTCCTCTGATATGCTTGATGTTCTAGCTTGATGCTGCCTACTACCCATTTGATTCCACTGCTGTTGTTGTTCCCGCTTTTGTTGTGCAGCCCTCAACGATTTTTCGAAATGATTATGCAGTGCCTGCTCTTGCCTTTCCTTTTCTTCTCTTTCCCTCTCTTGTTTCTCTCGCTCCCTATCCATTTTATCCCTTTCTTGTCTCTCTCTTTCCAGCCTTTCTTTTTCTCTGTGATGTTGCTCTTGCTGGTGCCTTATTCTTTCAGTGGCATGTCGCTCTTGCAGCATTGCACGTTCTCTTTCAACATCTTCAACAGTGTGAGCAGACTGCTGGCTACCTAAAATGTGACCAGGAACGGAGGCATACCTTTGCTTGTTCCATATAATATCGGGGAAGGGCGAATGTAAGAACTGATGGGGAGGTAAATGTGGATGGTTGGCCACATTGGGTATTCCAGGGTGTCCTAATGGATGCGGAGCCATTGTTGGTACGGGTGGATACAAAGCTGCCGAGAGACTAGTTGGCGCCGAAGTAGGCGGCTGTTGGCCAGTTGCTGGGGTCTGGGGGTGCGACATTAGCAGAGTCTGATGCTGCACGCTGTGCACGTGCCGCACGTGGGGCTCCTCTTGAAGGAGCAGGCCGGGATCGCGCCAGACACGAACCGGCTCGGCGACGGTGCCGGCCGGAACGAACAGGGGCGAACGGGTTGAGGCCGGCTGCGACTGAACTGAATTTGATGAAGAGTGCCCTGTTAAACTGTTGGGCTCGTCTGATGAACTTAAAGCACTGGACCTAAAAAAAAATCTCGTTTAATAAAAGTGTTCATTTTATTATAAATGAGTTGTTGCAACTAACCTGGATCCAGAGCGTTCATCCCCACTGCCTGAACGTAGAGAACTCACTCCAGAGTCGCTACGGTCGTCTGCAAAGCGGAGAGAATTAGGAGTCTCGTTAAAGTCCATCCTACTGCTGAGGGGTGAGGACGAACACAGTGGGCCGTCATCGTCACCTGGAATAGAAAACAAATATTAAAGTCATCATTAGAACATAATTATTCAATCGTTGATGTAAAGAAATGCAATATTCAATTGAATTAAAAAGTTTTAAAAATTTCATTGCATTGTACTAAAAGTTTAAATTACGTACTGCTTTAACTACCTCATAGTTATGTGTAGGTAATGTGTAAAGTGGATGACCTTCATTTATGACCTATTTATGAAATGACTAGGTAAGTTTAAATAATAGGTAAGTATGTATATTGAGAGCGGCTGTTTTTGCTCTCTGGTTAAAGAATTTCATTAACGTCAATCATCCTTGAAGTAAGCAGGGATAAAAATTGCCTTATTTTTCCTAAGGTTTGCAAACATGTAGGCAAATACTACTTTTTCTTTTCGACATTAAGTAATACCCATACACATTAATTCAAATGTATTGCAAAGTATATTCCTCTGAATATTTAGGATTAAGAGGAAAAAGTTTATTACAAATTACTTTGGCACTTGTTTGGATCATTTAATCTATAGACTAGTGTAAATGGAACGAAAAGTGCCTGAACTTAAAATATTTCACAGGAGAAAGTAATTGAAATAGAAACTTCAAGGCATTCCATCTCTCTATTTATATGACAGTAATTTGATAGAAAAATTAAGCATTCCAATAAAAACAATCAATTTATAATAATTATAAACCAACTCGTAATAACCTTGACTATAGGTACAAACACATCATAAGTAAAATCCTAATTGGCATAAAAATAGAAATCAAAGTTCAGGATTGAAAAATATTATTAACATCTAAAAACCGGGAATTTAATAATATGATGGAATTTGAAAATAACATCAAGAAAAATAAACTCAAGCAGTGAATATGTAATTTGAAATTTGCCAAAGGTATAAGGAAACATTACTGACTAACTAAGAAAAGTAAAAGTATACGTAGTGACTTACCTCTAATTGAGCAATCCGTTTCGCGATCACTTCCCTTACTTGGTGTGTTGAGAATGATACTGATGCTATCGCCACTAACGTTGACAGGAGTCTGCTGTTGTTTTTGGTCGATCTTGTGGTTCGCCACTATCGCACACTCTTCTTCAACTACACCACTATTTTCCTGCACTACTTTTTCATTCAGTGACTCGTCGACACTAGCATCACAACGCGTATTATCATTACTCTCCTTTGCGTTATCGAGTACACTGATAGATTGCACAATAGATTCACTATAATTACTAAATTTACTTATTAGACTATCTTCTTGCACTTGTTCCGGTTCAACTCTATTATTTAAATTATCACAACTGGCTTTTAATTCTTTATCACTACTGCAGTCAGAAGGTTCTAACTTTTCATTTAATCCATCGATTAACGGCACTTCTTTTGAATCGTCTGCTGGAGAATTTTCTGATGCTTTGTCTTCTGTTCCAGAAACGGTAGTGTCCTGACTACCAGAATATGATCCGTTCTGCAAGCAATCCTCAACTACAATAGCTACTTCTCGAAATTTCGAATTGTTAGCTTCTTCTAAAACTTTCTTTTTATTAACTAGGCGATTGTGGTTTTTTCTTCGAGACTGTTTATTTTCTAAGTCTTCTTTGATATTGTTGGCGTAACGTGTTCTTGTTGTCGATGGAGTGTCCGATTCACTTGTTTTTCGTTTTCGAGCCTTTGGCGCTGGAACTGGAAAAAAAAAATATCAATGAGAGTCCATCAAGATCTTGTTAAAATTCAATTATCATTAATGTAACGAAGACAGAAAAAGATCGTTAAGAAAACCATGACCGGAAAACAGAAGCAGAAATTATCCAACCGGAACTTTGGACGCGTTTCAAGGAATGCGATATTTTTATATCCTAGCGGAAAAAATTCACATATATTCATCAGCCATTACACAATATAATGGTGGTGCTTTCCCATTGTTCGCGGGCGTGTGACCTGGTTAAGTTCGTCTTATCAATGTATCTGCGTATTAAATGGTTATGCTATGGTAATTTCAATGAATTCGTTGGAAATATACCATTCTTGGAACTTTTTTTGGTTGCATTGTCTCAGAAGTTTGAAACACAAAGGAATGTCATATGCTTCGGTAAATAATTTTATTGTGTTTTTATAAGAGATTTTAAATAGTCATGTTTTACTTATAAGTAGTAACAATATTACTCTCACAATGATTGAACAAGGTGTAGAGATAATTAGGCTTATTTGGCTTTTAAGGATACTCATTTAAATTTTGTAGTCCGTACACGTACACAACTGCTCTAAAAGCATACAAAATAACCCTACCTACCCGATTCTTAATTAACGATTCATAAGAACGTTTATTTTCAAAACGAGATGTGGGAGTGGAATATTAACGAGCAACGGGAATGGATGGGTGGGCGTAGTGAATACTTGAATATTTGCTATGGCTGTATGTATTCTCTTAATATTTATATTGTCTGCATTCTGAATGAAATTTAATGGTTTTTGAAATATGAGGAAAATCTTTGTTTCAAATCAGGTCTTTGCTTTGTTCTTTATACTTTATTGTTAAATGGAAATAGGAAGAACTGTAACACAGCAATAACTATTTACTTACTTACATTTTATTTAAGAGCACTTGTAGGTATTTTTAAAAGTTGATACTTGCTTCAAGATTCAATGCTGAAAAAATTACATAGCACTCATATTGGCATGGTAAAAATGAAATCACTAGCAAGAAATTACTGTTATTGGAAAGGAATTGATAAGGACATTAATGATTTAGTTAAGTTGTTCAACTTGTTGTGAAGTGAAGAAAAATCCTTGCAAAGCACCGATTCATCATTGGGAAGAGCTAACAAAAAATTGGTAACGAGTCCACATAGACTATGCAGGACCATTTTTGAATTTTTTTTTTTTATTGTTGTTGATGCAAAATTCAAATAGCTAGAAATTAAAATGAGTTCTGAAGCCCCAACTACATTTTGTACTATTAATTTTCTGAGAGAAATTTTTAGCTGTTATGGATTACCGGAATTTCTTGTAAGCGACAACGCTAGTATATTTAAATCTTTCGATTTTAAAGAATTTTGCGAAAGAGATGGAATTAAACAACAATTAATTGCACCAGGACATCCAGCTACTAATGGACAAGCAGAGAGAATTTGCGAAACTTTCAAAGCAAAATTGAAATGTATGATCAATGAAAGTGGCACATTACATGAAAAATCACACGCATTTCTATTTAAGTACAGAACTACAACATTATTGAATGGAAAAAAACCCTCAGAATTATTATTTGGTTATAACCTAAGGACAAAGTTGGATTTAATTAGACCTTCTATGTGTTAAAAAAATAGTGCATTACAACCAAAATTTGGGAAATTTTACCTGATTGGTTCTCAAATACAATCAAGAAATTATTTAGGATCTAAATTATGGAGATTCGGTACCATAGTTGAACGTTTAGGAAAAATTCATGATTTAATTGAATTAGATGATGGCTATATAATAAAACCACATAAAACGACATTTTAATCAACTTAGACCTTGTCAAGTAGAAACACCTAAATTCCAGTTACATCAACCACAAACTCACAATGACATTACACAAAATACAATACCATTACAAGAGAAACAAGAAAACAAGAAGAAAACAGTTACATTTGCCCCTAAATGCCCGATTGCACCGTCTCTCTTAACCGAGGCTTAGAGATAACTATTCCTTAAAGTGACATTTTCCCATGCAAAACTGTCAATTTAAGGGATAGCTATCGTTAAGCCTCAGTTAAGAGAGATGGTGCAATCGGGCATAACCTGTTACTATTTTTTTTTTATAAAATTGTCATTGTCAGATTTCATAATAAAAGAAACACATCTTCAGCACAATATTTCTCACAAAATACATAACAATTATTTAACAACCATTTATCTCTTAAATATTCACCTAAGTTATATATGAAAAAGATCTCATTGACCAGTAATTGTCTACATAAATAAATAATAAATAAGTCCAGATGTACAAAGTACATAAAAACTAAGTCCAGATGTACAAAGTCCCCACATCAAAACAATCTAATTTCACCCTTACTCAGAAAGCAACCCTGCCATGTCGAATCAAGATCGATAAAAGACAAAGATAAGGAAACCATTCAGAAAATTGCTATAATAAAAACGCGAGCTTTGTTATTTTCCTGCCAGTACAAAAATAACGCAAACTCTAATTTTGTGAGTTCCCAGGGAGAATTGGGAATCCTAAACCTTAATTTTTAGCTACCCTACTATGCTGGATCGATAGAAGACAAAGCCCTTGCTTTAGAAAACTGCCCTAATAAAAAGGCGACCTTCGTTATTGTCCTGCCTCGACAAAGAATAAATTCTATTTTCTTATATCTCATTTTCATATCCTGAAACGTGGGCATTTTCCCATTATATAAGGTTACAATGAAAAAAATTCCAACAGAGTAAGCCCATTTTTTTTTTCGTGCCGCAAGCCGCTTACCAGCTGAAACAGCAACTTTGCTTTTATTCGCATTGCACCGTTCTTTTTTGCTGATTTCACTTTAATCGCGAGTTAAGTCAGCAGTTTTGGAAATTGCCAGTCGTTGGCTGAATTGATAGAGAAAAGTGTGGAGTCAGTCAGGCTGCCGGAAGGATTTTCGCGAACGTTGGCAGTTTTAACGGTTTAATGGTATATGACATGTTCGAGTTATTTACTAGAGTGGATTCTGTTAAAAGGATAAGTGGCATCTGTTTTTTTTTTTTAAACAAGTTTGTCTTGTCCCATTAAACCGCATTTATGGCAATGAGAAATGCCAACCTGTTTCGTAAAACAGTCATTAAATAAACTCTCAGGAATAAGAAAAATAAGCAGAAAACACAGTCCATTACTGGCATAATGGATTCTTTTTTTGTGAGATAAGAAGTAGACTGGTTTTTGAACCTGGTAACTGGTTTTGTAGAAAGAAGATCCTCGAGAAGAAAAGCAAACCAGTCGCTAATCACCAGCCTCCATTATGTATCTTGAATTTTTTGCTTTTGTTTCATGACAAATAAATTGTTTCCAGTGGAACTGACCCTGTTGTTTTGCAGACATGCAATGACTCACAAGCCATGGTTTATTCACTATGAGTAATGAACTCAGTATAGAAAAAATTCTGCTATTTGCATATTTATTTAGGTTAAAATTAGGCTATTAATATAAATCCTAATGTGAAATTCTTGTAAACTACGAATTTGTGGTCAATTGAAATAATGATGCAACTTATTGAATAAGAGAACCGGTGAAAGCTGTTGCATGGTCAGCCTGACATTCAAGTGCGGACTTTCTCCAAAAAAATCATTGCATTATTAATTATTTTATAACAGGACTTATTGAGCTGAATATTATTTCATTTTATCTGATATAATGGTATTAAGCAGCCCTCACACGATCAGTCCTTTGTAATACTGTTTTAGACTTTAGACAAAACAGTCGAGATCATCAAATTAAAAATAGCTTGCAAGTGAAATTATTATTTAGGTAATTATCATTTTTTTCTATGATCCCATAGCATAACGGGTATATTATCCATGCCACATGGACTACCAGTTGATTGACAAAATGTACGACCTTGTCCAACTTCAGTAATCTCTCTTGAGAAAATAATCCAAAAACAAGATCCCACTATTTCAAAACAAGCTAACAGAATTCCTGAAAAACAAGACAAGAAATGTCTACAACAAGCCAAAAGGGCAAACAAGTTCCAAGAAACTTTTTTCTATATGGAGAATTGAGACGAGTTTGGTTTATGCATAATGCAAGAACTCGAGGGGCCCGTCTTGCTGGTTGAAAATGAGTGGGTTCGGTTCCGAAAACGGGTTTAAGGCCCCCGAGTGAATGAAATTAGAAATTTAAAATATACATCCCTGGTCTTGCGGAACAGTGAAAAATAAAAGATTATTTATGAGTGGTCCAAAAAAAAAAGGAAGCCTAATAATGGGGGCTAATTTGGATAACATCTTTGGGATGCAGGAAAATCGAGGCTCGAAGTCTGTCTGTAATGAATTCTCAAAACAATGTTTAAATTGGAAATGGTTTAATTCTAAGGTTTTCTCTCCTCAATATTATACCATAGGCACTTTTAAAATACAACCAAAGAAATTATTGTGTAAATATCAAAGTATAAAGAGAACAAAATTAAAAAAGTTACTCACCCACCTAGACCTGACATTCAACAAACAAAATAGGTAAACAAGAACGTGACTTCTATGAAATAGCTGGTGTAAACAACAAATGGCGTGATTATTAATTGGATATGACGCCCACAGCAATTTGTTTAATTACAAAGATATTACTAAACCAATGAAACATATTAAATATTATTGCTTCAGTCAATACTTGGTAGAAACTGAAATACACGAGTTGATTCAAAAAAAAAATAGTTTATTTAATTAGGTATTTATTCTCATTATTACAAACTCTGAATTTTTAATAAGCTTTTCCTCTCCTCAATACAAATCTCTGTTGGATTGTCAAGATGTCTTAGCCAGCTTCAACATTACTTGATTTATTTTTATATTTGTTATGTAACCTTGGAATTGGTACCCAACATTTGGTAAATATTGTGTTACCTACATTGATAGTTTTGATTACAGACGGTGAACCTTGGCAATGGCATCGGTTATTTTTTATAATTGGAGGTTTAACCTTCAATGTTTTTTATACTTACTAGACAAAAAT